TTCTGACTCCTACTTGCCTGGCTGCAGGGCTGGAGCCATGGGCATACCTGTACCCCCTGTTTCGGCTCTTCATCAAGAATGCACTGCAGGCCCGGGGAGGCTGAGGCAGACCCCGGTGGGGTCTGGATTTCCAGGACAGGAGACTGGGGGTTGTGGGAAAGGAGAAAGAGCCCCCAAGGGTCTGCTTTGTATCCCACCAGCCTGACCCGAGGGAGCTTTGGAGTGGGCTGTGCGCCTGCAGGCGTCTGTCAGCCCAGGACAGCTCCTCCCAGCATGCACAGCGCCGCATCCACACAGCAGGGAGCAGGCTGACCACACCAACCGAGTGCCTGGAATCCAGAGTCTGTGCAGAGGGCTGAGGGGTGCAGCATAAGGGTGTGAGCCTCGCCCTCCCTCTGGACCCACTATTTTTAGTCAGTGCCGACCTGCATTTGCTGTTTGCCTCCTTCAATGAGGGCACAAGGCCAATGAGATGCACAGTGTTTGGAAGCCCAGAGTCTGTGGTCAGAACTCGATGAACAGGCCAAGAGTCTGGGGTGAGTAGGACAGGAAAATGCAAAGCTCAGGACTGGGGGCAGGATGGCATGGTGCTTCGAAGAGACCAGGTAGCCGGGAGCACTGCCAGTCCCTGCTGGGCATGGGATGCAGGTGCAGGGCTGATGTAGGAGCTCAAGGACCCAGCTGGAAAGGGTCCACTGCCAGCTGCAGGGCCCAGACATGATCCATGACTCTGAAGGTCTTTGACTCAGGTCAATTTGAGAATGATGGGAAACACAAGGCAGAGGGCCAAGCTGTGGCCAGGGAAGTGAGAGATGAGGTGGACATCGCTGTGGCTGCCACTCAGTGCCAGGGCGCCCCCAGGCCCTGCACTCTAGAGGAGTCCCCTGACCACACACCTCCAGATAACATGGCTTGGCCACCTCTGGTGAGGTCACATTCACCACAGTGAGATACCTGAGCCCACAACCAGGACGCTGGCTGGCAGGAGGGCAGTACCCTGGAGCTGGCAGCAGGTGAAGAGGTCAGAGCGGGCAGGGGCAGCAAGCGCATCAGGAACACCTGTGAGACAGGTGCCTCTGGGCACCCAGCCTGGACTGCCCTTTCTCCGGCACGGGGCAGCTGTGATCCCACAACCTCAGTGGCCCTGAGCACACAGTGCATCCTCTCTGGCTTCAATTACTGCTCTGCTAAGTGCAGTCTCCACGCCCCTGACCGTGTGGTCAGTAAGACCTTTGGAATGCACAGAGAGGGCCAGCAGGTGGGGAGATGGACGCCTTGCCCAGGATGCACCCCGCTGTCCAGTGCAGACTCTGGCTGCTGCACGGAGAGCTCCTCCAAGGAGCCAGGCCTGGGCTCCCCACGTTACTTCTTCGAACCCTGGGCTGCAGTCGGGAGCCCCGGGAGTCACCAACCTCGGGCAACTCTGGCCCTCCGGAGGTGCTGGCGCAGCCTGGACGTAGGATCCACGCGATCCCGGGACCCCACAGGGGCCCGCAACGGCCTCCTTCCGGCGACATCTGGTTTGGAGGGTGGAGCCCAGCACGCTGGTCGCTGTCCTCGGTGCTGAATGGAGGGCTCGGCGCTGGAGCTCTGCTTCTCGTTGCTCAGAATGTGGTGTCCTTCCAGATGGCTTAGAAAACTGCAAGAGCGCTGTGCCTTACAAGAGATGATGAAAAACCAGTACAGAGAACGCTGCACGCATATCCTCCAGACTCCGGTGAACAACAGGGTGTGCCAGGCAGCAGAGGTGGGGTGTGGAGCTTCCACCCCCTGGTGTGCCCCCGCCATGGTGCCCTCTCCACAAGGCGGCAGCCCAGTCCGGCGTCAGCAGCTGGACCCTGTCCACACTCAGGAAGTTGGACATTCATCTGTGGACTGAATGGGGCACTGGGGGCCCCGGGTGGGTTGTGGGCAGCACGAGGTAAGCACAGAGTGGAGGTGGTTTATGCAGTGCCCAGATCAGGACCCCTGAACTCCGAGATGCCTCCGTCTGTCCACAAGCATCCCCAGGAGCAGGTTCTCCCACACCACTTGCACAGGGAAAGTGGCCACTTGGTTCTCAAGCAGAGGGAGCAGATCTCAGAAGTCACGTGGAGCCCATGCCTACAACTGCCAAGCAGGAGGGGCTGTTAGTGCAGGACGAGTGAGCAGCAGTGTCAGGGGCTCCCCACTTGCTCTTGTCCCCCCAAATTTCAAAAAGCTATAATGTAGGAGAAGATACCAGAAATTTCAGTGCCCACCTGCTCCCTCTCCTGGTCTACTTCGGGACCCTTGCTGTCACCCCTCCCCAGGTTTATACCCCTGACTCATGTCTATCCTGCCCTCAACCTCCGTGACCCGCCTGTCAGGAGCAGCACACTGCAGATGGGGATGAGCAGTGAGAGGGACGTTTCCTGTCTGCCAGGCAGGCAGCGGCATCCAAGTCCCAGGCTTGATGTCACCTGTCAGTGCCCACCTTGGGCCCCACAAACCAGGCTGGTGGCTTGGAGATAACCCCAGATGGCAGATGGGCAAAGATTGCACAAATGAGGGCTTAATTGACAATCAATTGTGATTAGGAGTGAAAGGAGTCTTCATGGCCCAGAATCCCTGCTTGCCTGTGGAGGAGGGAAGGGTGCCTCTTGTGCCTGGGGAGTGCTCCTCAGAGATGCAACTGTGGGGGAGTGGGAGGTGCCATGAGCTCCTCCTATGCCCCACCACCACCCCTCTAAGGGAAGCATTGGAGACGCCCTGCCAGCCCCCCAGCCTGATTTCAGATGGACAGCTCATTACCCTGCCTGCTGCAGCCCCATTGGGGTGTGCAGGGGCAGGGTGGGTGGAGAGGGGGAACCAGCCCATGCCAGGCCTCCATTGGCAGGGAGAGTCCGTGGTGGAGTGCTTGGAAACCCCTGTGGTCATATCCTATGCCATGACGCATGATCCAGTTTGCTTATTACACAGGGGACTTAATACGTTGTGTATTTACTGTGAGGTGATAACTCCCGAATTGCACTGTGTTTACACTGGTCCAAACGTGTGCTGTGTGTTTGTGTTGTCTTGAAAGTTGCCAGAGGAGGCCGGATCCTGTACCCCCACTACCTGTGGGTGTCCGGACCCGGGATGCCCAGAACCAGTGGCAATGTGAGGTTGTGGCTGCAGTGGGGCGGCCTGGTCCAAGCGCTGGTGACCAGAGTTGCGGCAGGCTCACAGAAGTCAGCTGAGTCCTTCCCACCCCCAAGGATCCTCACACCACTCACAGCTGGACGGGGTGGGGGGGAGCAGAGGAGGGGCTGGGACCCTACCCCCGGAGTTCTAAGGGATGCAGGCAAGCAAGGGGCTGGCTGGGAGGGAGAAAGAGGGACGTGTGCTCTCTCCTGAGCTGCGTGCCCGGCTGGGTGCTCATGAATGAGTCCTACTTAATGGGGCTGTATGCTTGTGAATGAGTGTGAGTGTGAGAGTGTGTGTGTGAATGAGGAGGGAACATCTATATTCACACTTGGTTGGGGAGGGGAGGGAGCTAGCGGAGACCTAGGTGGGGGCAGGAAGGAGATAATTACCTCCCTGCGATGAGAGATTACCCACCCTCCTTCCCCAGAGGTGATTTATAATTTAAAGATAAAGAATAATCAAGTCCTGGCAGGGAAGGACACAATGTTGTGGGTCTGATTAGATCGCGGGGTGGACCAGCACGCGTACGAAGAGCGCGGGATGGGGAGGGCTCCTGAGCCGCTCAGGCTCTCGCTTCCCCGAGGCCCAGCAGGTCGGAGGTTGGCCCAAATTACAGCCAATCGGTCCCCCATTATTTCCCCCAACTTTTAATTTCTGATTCCGAAGGATCATTGCCCGCGGTAATTGCAAAGGACCTGTCCTTGCGCAGAGCAGGCTCTGGGGACGCAGGGGGAGGCGCGCACTCACCCCCGCGGAAGAACCCGCGCGCTCCGCCGCCGGCTCCCACCTGGGTCCCCCGGAGGCAGTCGGCTCCTTGGCAGGCGGCCGAAGCAGGAGTGCAACACGGGCGCCGGGTTGCACCGGCGAGGGCGGCGGGACCCATCTTGAAGTGTCGCCGCTGAGGACGAAGCGCACAAACATTCGGTCGCGCACGGGCCTCCCCACTTGGCGGGGCGTCTGCCGTGATCTTCCCTTACGTGAGGGGTTCGGTGCTCACGTAGGACGCCTGCCGTTCGCTCGCCATCTCGGGCCCAACGGTGGGGCGGGGCCGCGGGAGGCCCGCACTCATTTGATTCCACGTCTAACCAGCGACCCGGGGCCGCTGGCCCCGCCCCGCGGGCACTCGGCCCGGCCCCAATTTGACGGCGCGCAGGAGGCGGGCGCCGGTCGAGGGCCGGGACCCTGCGCCAGCGCCGACACACGCCCGGGGCGACCGCGCGCTGCGGGACCGAGGCCGCGGGGTGCGCGCGAGGGGCCGGGTCCTACGCAGCGAGGTGTCTGCAGAAGCCCAGCCGGAGCTGCAGGGCCGGGAGCCACGGTGCCGCCCAACCCGAGCCTGCCCTGGATGGAAGCGAGAGCGGGCCTGAGCGAGGACATTCAGGCCACCTCGGGGCTTCTGGCCCGCGCCTGCCGAGGCGTCTGAGCCCGGAATCCTTTACCGCCCGGCTGTCTCCTTCCCCTGCGCGAGAAGGCGGCGCGCGGTTCCAGGCCGGGGGACGCGGCGACACTGCTGAACGACCGCGACAGCCTGCGCCCCGGCCCGACACGTCCGGCCGTCTGGCTACAGCTCGTCCCACCTTGCGCCGGGCCCGCCTCCTGCCCCCGGGGCCGTTCGCAGCCAATTAGGCGCGCGCGCGCTAACGAGGCAGCGGGGTCCGGGCCGCGGCGGGCGCACGTGTGTGCGGCGTGGGGCGCGTGGGCGCCTCCACGGGGCCGCCATAAATGCGCCGGCCGGGCGCGGCGGAGGAGGTGCCAGGCAGCACCGGCCGGGATCCTCCGCGCTTGGCCGCCCGCGCGCGCGCCTCGCTGGGCATGGGCGCGCGATAGGCGCGGGCCCAGGCTGCGGAGCCGGCATGAGCGCCAGCGGCCCCGGGGCCCCGGGCGACGTACCTGCGCCGCCGCCGCCGCCGCCTTCCGGGCCGGGCCCGGGGCCCGCGCCGCCGCCCGCCGCTGCCGCCCAGGACGCCATGGACGGGCGTGCCGAGCCGCCCGCCTTCCCTCGCGCCGGGGCCCCGCTGCTTGCCGCCAGCGACACAGTGCCTGCGGCGCCCGAGGGACCTGGAGCCGCGCGTCCTGCCGCGCCCCTGCGTCCCACCTCCTTCTCGGTTTTGGACATCCTGGACCCCAACAAGTTCAATAGCCGCCGGCGCCGCTGCGTGCTGCTGGGCCCCACAACCTCCGCCCCCAGCGCCCTCAGTGCCCCCTGCGCCCCGGCCCCCGCCGCCTCGGGACGCCCGCCTCGCGCGGAGGAGTCGGAGCGCCGGGTCCTCGCCGCCGCCGCAGGAGCTGTAGCGGGAGCCGCTCCGCCGGGTAAGTAGCGGGTCCAGGACTCCGGGCCTGGCCGGCCTCTCCGATGCGTGGCACCGGGATCCTGACGAGGGCCCCGGCTGCCGAGGCCCGCGAGAAAGTTCGCAGCGCGCGGGCTCCGCGGCCTCCGCCGGATCCGGACTTGGAGCTGCTCTAGCTCGGGGAGGCTGCGGGGTCCGCGTCCGTGCGTGTCTGGCCCGAGGGCTGCGCGGTGCTCCCGCGACCTCTGCCCGCCTGGCCTTCCTTCCTTCTCTCTTGCTATTTCTTTTTTCTTTTCTTTTTTTTTTTTTTTCTTTTGGACAAATCGGACTAATTGTGACAAAACGCTGGTTATCTCTGGAAAAACAATTAAATCCCTTCGATTACAGTTAAGGGGAAATGTGCTTAGCGGCGGAAAGCGGTCAGTAATGGGGCGGCCCGCGCCCCCGGTCCGGTCGATATCCCATTACGGGCGCATGCATATCTCTTTCAAGCACCTTGCAAACTCCCCCCGAACATCTAAATTATAGGGTCAAAATTCGGATAATTACTCGATTAAAACCTATTGCACTTATTAGGGGCCGCTATTGATCGAGAATTGCATTCGACCGGCTCCTGATTGCTTTTTGTGCCCCTTCCCTCGCCCCTGCCACCTCCAACTTTTCGGGCCCTGTGCCTGAGCACCCTCGGCTACCGGGCAGGGTGGCTCTTGCACGGACCAAGGGCAGCACCTGCACTGGGCTTCTTGCTGGGAACTGAGACACAGAATAGACCTTGGCCACAAGGATACCCCCATCTCTCTACTGAGGGGCTTTTGAAACCTCTGCTTTTTCACTTTTTTAGGGGAACTCAATACCCTGGCTGGCAGCTGTAGGGAGGGAGCGGGCACAGTAGTGCTGGGAAGGGCAGAGAGGATGGCTTGGGTCCACCTTGAACAGCTCCTTCAACTGCCCGGGCCTGAGTGCTTAGTACCAGGACATCTGCCACGTTCATGCACCCTGGACCAGCTGCCCCAGGAGCCTGGCAGGGGTAAATTTTTCTCCTGGGTGGAATCTAAGTGCCAGCCCAACAGCAAGGCCTTGGCCCCTCTTGGGCAGCTGCTTGCCCCTTTTGGGTGTTAGGACCACCTGTGGGGTGAGGGCATAAGCAGCCCTCAAATCCCGCCCAGAAGAAAGGCTTTCTTCAAATCTCAGAACCCCCAGTGTATGCACAGCTAGCCAGGGCTGCAGGACATGGGGCTGGGTCTCCCAGTCAGGCCAAGCAGGGATAGGAACAGGCCTGGAAGAGCAACTTTTGGGACAGCGCAGATGCTGGCTCCAGTAGGGACAGGTAGGGACAGCCAGGAAGGCTGATTGGGCCCTCCACTGGCCAGTCCCCAGCCTAGGGCAAGGACCCTTCCCTGGACTACGTGAATGCCCGGCACCTGGTAGGCCATGTGCCTGGTATAATTGGAGGGTAATATACACCAAAATAAATTAAATGGCCTTTTAACTAGTTTGTACATTACAGAAAATGAGTTTAATTAAGTTTGTATCTGGCCCGGATCGATCACAGCAGTGTACAGCTTGTGCCACAGCCCTGGGCCGGTGCTGGCCACTCTCTGGGCAGGAGAGGGTCCTTCGCTGGGGTGCAGAGGAAGCCCTGGGGCAGAGAGCAAGAGGATGGGGGACCAGGGGAGGACACAAGGGGTGGCATGGGGCGAGCTGACTAGCCTGCCTGTCCTAGTCCCTGCAGGTTCCAGCTACCCCTACAAGACAGACGAGGCAGAGGCCAATGGTTACAGCAGCAGCGGCCACAGCCCAAGTGCGGACAGCGGGGATGAGGCCCCCGATGAGGGGACTTCAGACGCCTCCCGAAGAGGTGGCAGCCGCGGGCCCCGCAGGTCAGGCTGCACTGGAGCAGTAGAGACGGAGGCAGCCACAGGCACCTTGGAGGAGGCTTCGGTCCCTGCACCCTGTGGGACCTCACCTGGAGTCCCGGGTGCACCAGAGGCATCGACTGCAACAGCCGCATCTGCAGCAGGCGGCACAGGGACCGGCCAGCAGGTCACAGCAGCCAAGCCCAAGCGGAAGCGCACGGGCTCCGACTCCAAATCGGGGAAGCCGAGACGCGCGCGCACCGCCTTCACCTATGAGCAGCTCGTAGCGCTGGAGAACAAGTTCAAGGCCACACGCTACCTGTCGGTGTGCGAGCGCCTCAACCTGGCGCTGTCACTCAGCCTCACCGAGACGCAGGTGAAGATCTGGTTCCAGAACCGCCGGACCAAGTGGAAGAAACAGAATCCGGGTGCTGACACCAGTGCACCAACGGGCGGCGGTGGGGGGGCGGGGCCGGGGCCAGGTACGGGGCTGCCCGGTGGGCTCAGCCCTCTCAGCCCATCGCCGCCCCTAGGCGCACCGCTTGCCATGCATGGTCCTGCGGCATACCCCGCACATGGCCCCGGAGGGCTGGTGTGTGCTGCGCAGCTGCCCTTCCTGTCGGGCCCGGCCGTGCTGTCCCCCTTTGTGCTGGGCTCCCAGACCTACGGGGCGCCTGCCTTCTACACACCGCACCTCTAAGCTGGTGGGCAGGCAGAACCCGCAGATTAGCGAGTACCCCTCATGCAGCGGGACCCAAGGAAAGTATAATTTCTGAAGGACCAACGGACCGAGCTCGGGCCACTGGGGCACTGTGCCGGATCTGGATCTCAATAAACCCGGAGGCTGCGCCCAGTCTCACAGATCTCTCACTGCCCAGAGCTTCTCCGGTAGGGAGGGCCCACTCCTGTGTCTCCACTGCCTGCCCTGAGCATGCAGGTTGCACATCACCGCCAGGGACAGGACCTCTGCTGCTGCCTACACAGGAGACACTGGCCTGTGAAGCACTGCACAGCATTGGAGTGGAGGACTCCGAGGTGGTGCCCCAGACATGCTTGTCCTGAGGGTTTGGGCAGGTCCCCAGCAGGCTGCATCTGTGCTCCACAGCAGCGCTGCCTGCAGATATGCAGGGACCCCAGGCAGGTGCCCCAGGTCTGGAAGGACTGAGCCTAGGTGTTGGGCAGCGTGGCTAGTATCTGCCCCCACTGGCCAGTGGCTGGGCATAGGCTGGGCTGTCTGCTGCGCTCCTTGGCAGCCCTCCACATGCTGCCAGCAAGCTGCTTGAGGACTCACCCCTGGGTACCCTGCCTGTCTCGACTGGGAGAGGGTGGGTGGCTGTGATCCCATCAAACTGGGCAAGAATGGAGTGGCCTCACTGGCACTGCCACTGGCAGAGGGTGAAGGGCAGGCAGGGAGGAGCCACCTGCCCACAGCTGTCCTTCTACTTTCCTGTGTCTATGTGCTGGTCCCCCAAGGTGCAGCTGCTTGGTAACAGCCCTGGGTAGGTGCAGGGTCAGGCTGTGGATGGTGACCAGGGGCAACCAGCCCAAGGGTGGCAGGATTGGGCCAGATGTAACCAGTGGCTCCACGAGGAGGCCTGAGCCTCCGCAGTGCAGGTGCTATGACCTGCCCCTCTGGGATCCACCAGTCTCTCGGGTGCCAGTTGTGTGTGCTGGGCCTAGATGGGTACAGAGTAGACCTGGCTGCCTGTCTGGGCTGCCTCAGCGCCCTAAAATGATCAGTCTATGGCTATCTTTACATCTTGTTTGGGGAAACAGGCTGGGAGCTCAGGGAGCCCTGCTCCCTCCTGGAGGCACTGACCAGACCCAGCTGCAGCTCCTCCAAGGTGTGGGGGTGCTGTTCCCCAGGACCCAGGCCAGGGGCCACCCTTCCTCCATTTGGTCTGCAACCTGGTGCAGGGTGCCTGGCTGGACAGCTGTGGGGACGGGGTCTATCAGCCTACAGGCCTGGACCTTAGGAGCACGAGCCCACAGCATCCACCATAGGTGAGAATCTGCCCTGCTGGATGAAAGAGAACAGACAAGAGTGGAGACTTTTCCTGTGTAAGGGAACCTGGCCAGTGGCAGCTGGGGCCTGGGCTTCATCCTCACAAACTCAGGTGGCAGCAGAGGCTCCAGCCACTGCACCCTCACTCTGGACAGTGCTCAGGGAACAGAGTGGGCTTCCCAGAACCCCGCACAGCAGTGTGGCTGGGTCATATGGCCACACTTGGCAAGGGAGTCCATCTCACTGGTAGGCAGGAGCAGCTTCCTGCCACTCTGAAGTTCGTGGCCAGCATTCCCTACTGCACAGTGTGTATTAGTGTCGTTCTGGGAAAGGCCCTGCCCTGTCCACACTGCACTCACTGTACCCTCTCCCAGGTCCCCTCACTTGACCTAGGTGAGGTAGCCTGGCTGCTGTGTGTCACCAAAAACCCAGGCCTCCTGGACTGCTCGCCATACCCCAGCCCTGCAAGGGGCCCCTGTAGCACTGCCCTGTTCCCAGCTATCCTGGACACTGCCTGGCACCTCACTGAGCTCCAGGGGTCTCCTCAGCTGGAAGCTGCCTTGGAGCACCTGGGAGTGGATGCCCCCCTGGCATACCCTTCCCAGTGCCACCCTATACCCCCAGGCCCAGGCTTCTCTGCAGAGCCCCACCCCTCAGTGGCCACCCCCACTTTTTCCTGGACAGCTGTGCGGTTCCTGGGAAATGGGATGCATCACAGCTGGGCACTAATTGCACATCAGGGCCTCTCACTAGGTTCTGGGCATGGGGATGTGAGCAGGTATGCTGGAGAGGAAGGGTTCCAGGAAGACATGGGGACAAATGGGTAATGTCCTAGCAGGCAGATGCACACCACTCCCTGTGCCTGTGGTCCGTGGTGGCTGGAGCTCCAGAAGCACCTTGGTATGTGAGGCAGCTGAAGGATAGAGGCTTTGATGTTGAGCCAGAAGCTGGAAAGAGGCAGGGTCCTGATGGCACCATGCAGTCTTTCCATGGTTTGAACACCTCTGCGCTGCTGACAGAAACACAGCTACATCCTGAGTTTACCGCACGGTGCTGGTTTTTAGTTTTATGTAGTGAACCCTAATTGAAACAACCTATTCCCATATGGGCGGTCAACTCAAGCACTTAGGCTGTTGCCTGTGTCCTGTCCACTCCCCACTGCCAGTCCTGTGCCACACTGACACCAGTGCATACTGCCAGGTCCACTGCCCAGATGCCATCTTCAGTCCCCACCCCTGTGTGACCAGGACACTGGCCTGGGCTGCAAGCTCTGCAGGCCATGCTCTCAGCCTGGGCTGGGCCCAAGCATGCAGGCTGTGGCTGGCTGGCCTGGCCCCCAACCATCTCCCTCTGTAGCCAGTACCCTGCTTCAGGCTCCGCAGTGCCCTCAGTGCTGCCTGTGTGGTGCAGCCCCCCACCCCACCCCACCACACCAGGGAGACCTGGATGTGCAGGTGGCACGGAAGTGCATCCAGAGCTGCTGGCACTGCGGGCCTGGGTACCCCCACAGGCCTGATGTGAGAAGGAGCAGGGCGGGTTCCAGTCTGCAGAGCTGTGGTCTCACTAAGGTGGCACAGGGACACTGACAACTATTCAAAATAAAACTCTGGATTTCCTGGCTCTCATTTTATAAACCATAATTTAAATGTGAAAATAAACCTATAAAGTAGTAGGAGAAACATGGACTCTAGGACATGCTCTTCAAGTGGGGAGGGCCTGCCTAACCCTGAAAACTCAGAAGCCACCAAGACAAAGAATCTAACAACACAGAAAACCTGTGCAGCTGAACACTGGTTCCAATAAGCAGGTGACCCGGGGCCTGCTGTATAGCACCTCCCCTCCAAGGGACCTGCAGTCCAGCAAGAGTGGACTCAGGAAAGGAAAATGACACCAGTTCATTTTCTGGCACTGGGGGCCTCTGCACTGAGGTACAACTGCAGCCCTTTATTCTGAGCCAGTCTGGACCTGAACCTGAGATCTTTCTGCCTCAGCCTGCCAGAATGCTGGGATTCTAGGTGCATCATACCACACGCCACTGTGAATTCTTTTTTTAAAAATTTTTTGGTCTTTTTCTTTTTTATCAGTACCAGGGATGGAACTCACAACTGCCTGCTTGCAAGGCAGGCACTTACAACGCTGAGCTAAATCCCCAGTCCCCCCACTGTGGATTCTTGATAAAGACAATGATCCCTCATCCACTCATCCCTAAGAGAACTCTTAGTGAAAACGACCTGCCTTTGCCTGAAGCTTAGCAAAGATCAAGCAGCAGCAGCTCCCAGGTTTGGCAAGGCCGTGGGAAAGCCAATCATGCCAGCTGTAGGACAGTGGCTCTGTGGCTGGGGACCCTAAGTGCAGGAGCCCCTGTCTGCAGCTCCACTTCTGGACAACGTGCAGTACCTCTGTGGTACATGGCAGGGCACAGAGATAGCAAACAGCCTGACATCCTGTGTAGGACTCGGTGCCCACACTCAGCAGCATCTGCAGGGAGCAGAGAAGCTGGGACCTGGGGCACTGGGGTGACAAAACCAGCTTTTCCACAGTGCTGGGGCTGGACAGATGTGCGTCAATGCAGGGAGTGCTGACAGGAGAGGGAAAGGTACCCAAGGCTGGGGTGCACTTGGTGGCAGAGTGTGTGTCCAGTGGGGGAGGCCAGATTCATGCCACACATCAGCCAGGCTAGTGCACACATGCACACTTACAGTGCACACTCTTGGCTGGTTCTCGGAGGAACAGAAGACAGGTACTTGCCCAGGATGGAGCAGGTAGGGTGGGCAGGGGCGCTGATGGCCGCCCCCAGGAGCCATGCATAAGGCTAGGTGGCACTGTGCTGTTCAAAACCTCAAAGGACCTGGCAGCACACACCTGGGGAATGGGGGTCACCCCAAGAAGGCCCGAGCACCCCTCTACTGGCTTTGTGTTGTAAGTGGGAAGTGGCACCTAACAACAGCCAGTCTGCAGGACTCCCAGAATCTGGGTTGAAGCACGGGAGGACACCCCTGGGCTGGGCCACCTGGACATGGGGAGATGCAACCCAGGGCAGTGTGAGGGAGCTGCTGCAAAGCAGCAGAAAGCTGAAGCCCAGGAAACAGCAGCCTCCAAAAGCACTGCTCCTGAGTGAGGACCATGACGCACTGACATGGCTGGAAACACGGTATCACGCTCGTGGGACGCTCACAGTGACTGCAGGCGACAGTGGCAGGGACTTGGGAAGGGATGGAAACTCAGGCTGACACAGACTCTTGGCTCTCAGCTGGCAGGATGAGAGCACAAGCCCAGGCCCAGGGGCCAGAGCTGAGAGCAGGGTGCCGCCTGCATGCAGGGGACCCCGAGGACGGCTGCCAGGGAGAAGGGGAGGCAAGGTCAGAAGGCAGCAGCTGAAACTTTCTCAGGCCCACGTGGCACTGTGGGTCCTTGGTAGAACTGAGCCTTAGTACACACGGCCTGATCATCTTGGCCCAGCAAGGAGACTCTGAGGGCAAGAAAGCAGCAGGCATCCTGCACCAGAAAGAAGAAACTGAGGTATCAACAGACAGTGCCACCAAGGGTGACTTCATCCATTCAGCAGCAAGAGGACCAGGGACAGAGGACCTGCCCGCGGCAGCATGGCAACATGGCAGCATGTGTTGAGCCAGGATGTAGCCAGCGTGAAGAGCTCTCAAGCACTGGAAAGGGCTCAAGTCACACACAAGATAACAGAACCAAGTAAGACATCAACAGAGGAGATCTGGGAAATTTGTGAGTACATGGAACACTCTTGAGTAACTTTAAAACAACAAACAGCTTGGCACAGTGGTGCAGGCCTATAACCCCAGCACTGGAGAGGCTGAGGCAGGAGGAGTGCCATGAATTCAAGGCCAGTTTGGGCTACACAGTGAGTTCAAGGCCAGCCTCAACTGCACTGAGACCCTGTCTCAAAAAGACAAAGGTAACAACAACACAAAAAACAAAACAAATGCTCCCAGCACCCCCAAAACCCAGCAAACCAAAAGTTAAAGGATTAAACAATGCTTACATGAAAATGTATAGTGAATACTTTTATTAAAAAAGATTTCCAATTATTAAACTAATCTTTCGCTTTAAGAAAAAACGGGGAAAATTAAATCCAAAGTAACCCAAAGGAAATAATGAGTAATGGAAATCAATGAAATAAATGATAGAAAAAATACGGAACAATCAAAACCAAAGTTGTTTCCTTGACTGTATCAACAAAATCACAAATCTTCCGACTGACCAAGGAGAAAGGGGACAGAGGGAAGGAGGGGGAGAGACAGAGCTAAAATAACTAAACTCAGAAAGTTTTATAAATAGCTATAGTTCATCAAATTACAATAAATGAGGAATGGACGAGCTTCTACAAACTACCGCGCTGACACAAGGAACAGATGCTGAGCAGCCTGCAGACTGTTCAGCCATCGGTGGCCACAGACAGACATGCAGTGAGTTATTGCTGTGGCTGTGTCCAGATGCACCCAAAGCCTCAAGCAGTAGGTAGGGCTTTTCAGAGGTGGCTGGACCTAGAGTGTGTAACACTGGGCCTGATTCATGGTGCAGTGCTAGGCTCAAGGACACCAGGATGGAGTGCCACCTACCCTTAAGGAACCTGGGTAAGATGTAAGGGATAGAGAGAGCTCTGGTCGACCCTTGCTGCTTTGCTGCCTTCTGCCCACCATGAACTGTTTCTCCTGTGTGATGCCCCTCGGCCGGCCACATTGCCTTGGAGCCAGCTGACTATGGACTGAAACCTCTACACATTGTGAGCCAAACAAGCCTCTCTTCCTTTACCTCTGGGCATCAGGCAGTTAGTTTCCTCAATGAGGAAGTAACTAAGACAGGAATGAAAATCTCACAAGGATCAGCCAGGGCAGATAGCTGCCACCTGAAATAACTAACAGCAACCCTTACATACCATTCCCAGATACAGAAGAAGGGACACTTCCAGCTCATTCTGTGATCTGTGGGACCCTGATAACAAGCCAGACATGAGAAAACCACACATAGAACTCTATCACGTTCTTCACCATGAGCCGTGAACAATCTGACAGCCAGAAGGGCACAGTACTCAGGAATAGGTTTTCAAAAAATAAGCCAAAAAGAAATTGAATTTTAAAAAGGGCCTGAGACTGCAGTCCTTCCAGGGGAAGAACCAGCAGCAGCTCCTGAGATCCACGCCATGTTGGAACTTAGGACACTGGGAAGCCAAGCAAGCACCTCCCCTCCCTGGTAATCAGTGGCAGTGTGGCAGACTGAGGCCCTTCCAGGGGGAGAACCAGCAGCAGTTCCTGAGATCCACGCCATGTTGGATCTTAGGACACTGGGAAACCAAATAACCAGCCTGCCTCCCTGCTAAGCAATAGTGAACCTACTGATGCATGGCCTAGAGTCAAATATCCCACTTCCCCTACCCCCCTTCTCCACCACCCCCCCACCCCGCCCATTAGCAAATGGGAACCAGAAATCTGAGCATCTCCTGGGAGGTTGACCATAGCAAATAAGGGGCACTTCCTTCTACCATCTCTTTGAAGGCAAATATTTTTATTACTGTTTTGCTCTTTTCTGATTAATGGTACTGCTCTATTCAGTATTCTGTTTTGATAAGTTCTATAGTGTTCTATATTTTATCTCAATTTGATATATGTGATTGAAAGAACAACTATTATAAAGATAACAAAATATACTGTGATACCTATTACTGTTATCCCGATAACCTGCTGTGAAGTTCTGTACCAATTTCACTGTACAATCTTAGTTGGCTTTATTCTGTCTTGTTCTGTTGTATACTTTCAAAATAAAATTTTTAAAAAAGGGCCTGGGATTTAGCTCAGCGGCTTCCCTGGTAAGCGTGAGGTCATGAGTTTGATCCCCAGTACCAAAAAAAAAAAAAAAAAAAAATTGAAAAAATAAGCCAAAGACCCACACACTCAGAGCTGCATAGCACTGCTGAAGACTACCCACATCCATGGGAGGACACCAGCATTTGTGCAGTTAGACTGGCCACACCCCAGAGTGAGCTCCGTATCTTGATCAAAATTCAAGGTTTTGTTTTTGGGGAAAATTGACAACCTGGTAACTATCATTCACTTGAAGATATAAAGAACCAACAATAGCCAAAACCATCCTGAAATAATATGGCTGGAAGAGTCACGTTTGTCATATCCAAAACTTAGCAGGTAGCTCCCATAACCCAGCACACAGTCCTGAAGAAGGTGTGTGGTCCGAGGAGCACACTCAGAGGCCAGGAACCCTGGGCCTGCACGTCGGGCCACCTGATTATCACAAGGCACTCAGAGTGGCCGTGAGGAGGACAGGCCTTCAACAAGTAGCGCTGCAAGAGCCAGCCAGCCACATGCAGGTCAGCTGGCCCACCTCACCCACGTGAGGAGCCGCCACCACGTAACTTAGTGGAAAGCAGGAGTGGCACTGTGTGACCTCAAGTTCTGTGTTGTTTTCAGATACGACACCAAAAGCACAAGCACTGGAAGGAAAAACAGATAAATTGAACTGTGTAAAAAACTGAGTATTTGAGCTCTAAAGGGTAGTACTGAAAGGGGAAAAGGCTGACATGGAGAGAGGAGGAGATCAATAAGGAGCCCACACACTCCTACACACAGGACCAACAGCCCTATTCAGCAAGATGTGAACAGACATTTCTCCTAAGAAGATGAATGAATGTCTGGTAAGCGCATGAAAAGTATCTACTGTTACTCATTAGAAATCTCAAGGCCGAGGATTTAGCTCAGTGAGTGGCATAAGCACCTGCTTGGCAAGGTTGTGAGTTCGATCCCCAGCACCAAAAAAAAGGAAAAAAAGAAAACTCAAATCGAGGAGACAGCTGGAGTGCTGGCCCGTGCCCACTGCCCCACCTACTCAGGAGGCCAAGGCAGAAGGCCTGTACATCCAAACCCAGCCTGGGAACACAGTGACCTAGCAAGCCAACCCCTCACAATGAAACATTATAAAAGGCTGGTTATTGAGTTCAGTGTAAGGTCATGTATTTGATCTGAAGTACAGGAAAGAAAATAAAAATAATGCTCAAACCCACTAAGATTGTTACTTTGGAGGGAAGTCACTGAGCTGACTGGAATGTAGAGACGCTGAATCCTCGCACTGGTCAGAAGGCACGGTGCTGCTTATGGGGTTCCCAGGGACAGCCAGGGTCAGACAGCCCAGGGCACACATGGAGCACGAGGCTGGGACACTCCACAGTGACAAGTGTGATGGTGTGGAAGAGGGGTGGGGAAGCCAGGGACACATGCTGCACCCTTAATGAGCCCCTAGCCTGGCCTGCTTGGAACACACGCTGGTGCTGGGGTGATATCCTCTAGGAGGTGGAACTGGGCCTGCTGCAGGAGCACAGGCCCCTGAGCCACACTCGGATGGGATCGCTGCATGTGGTCACTCACCACCAGAGGGGCTCAGAGATCTGCACCCAAGGGTGCAGCCCCAGGGTGCCCTCCTGGGGAGACGGCAGGCCATATGTAAGTTCTGAACCTGTCATGATGCACACAAGTCTCAGGCTGCTGCCACGGCCCACTGCCCTGGGTGCCACTGAGCAGACAACAGTGTGGCTTCTGGCCAGCCCCACAGCATCACCCTCACAGTGCACAGAGGTGGAACTGGCCAGCAGAGGGACTCAGCAGGCTGGCCCAGCACTAGTTTAGCGCATAGTTGAACTGGTTTGCAAACTTCTCATGCTTCTTCTGATCCATTTGGTTCATGGCAGCAACCACCCTCTGTACTGCCGCCCTGCGGGGACAGCAAAGCAAGGTTGGTCAGGGGCTCTGTGCAGGCTCAAGCCCATCCTGTTTGGGAAGTGGCCCTTGGCTACATCTCCACAGCTCCAGGGCAGCGCCGGGTGCCCTGTCCTGGGCAACACAATGTGGGAGATGTGGGGCCAGGCCAGCCTGGTCAGTCGCTCTGAGCCTCCCCTAGAGTGCTGCAGGCCTCTGTGAGGTGCCCACTCTCGGCCTTGCTCCGCCACAGGCTTTCTGTACCCAGAAAGCACAGGGTGGACTTAGGCTGCACCCCTTGGCCCTCACATCTCCCAGCAAAGACCCCTGGGAACCAGCTTGCTCCCGCCCCACCCTGGCCCATTCCCAAGTGCCATGGGCCGCTCCTGACTCTGGCCAGGCCGCTCTCCCATGGGTCCCAGTGTTGGGCAACAGCATCACCAGGCAGCAGATGCCCCCTATGGGCTGGTGCTGCCCTTGGCATTCGCCTTGGCAGGTGGTGGCAGCCTCATAGCCTCTGAGGACAGCAGAAACTCAGTGGGCACATGGATAAGAAGGCAAGATGAGTCCTGAGCGCAGCAGGCACGCTGACCAGGCTGGGTACATGCACCACACCCACATCCCAGGTGTCAGTGGGGCAAAGTGTACAGTGACGGCTCTCCCTGAGGTCACCATGAAGACAATGTGGCACTAGCCAGGAGCACAGGCAGAGCATGGATGAAGTGCATGCTCACTCTGTTCACCTGCCCTGGCCACTGGGCAGGGAGGACAAAGGTGGCAGCCCCAGGAGACACACAGACAGGATGTCTGAGCAGCTCTTGTCCCCCCACCCCCACCCCAGGGGATCCTGGGGACACGCAGGTACATGGCAGCAGTTCTTACTTGGCAAAGACCTTCTTCTCAAGGCGAGCCCGTGAGGTGCTGGCCTGTGCCCGCAGATCCGTGAGCTTTGGATACTTCCTTCTCTTCCCTTTGCTCTTCCCAGTGTACCGGGCAGAGCCAAGGTCCACCCCTGTGGCCGCCTCTACGTCCTTCAGGAACTCAGGGTCCTGCCAGTCTGAACAACATCCAGGACTTCAGCGACACCAGCACCAACCTGAGCCCTCTGCCCTAGGGGACATTGCACTGGCCATGTCCCACCCGAGGAGCTGGGCTGCCACTGGGAAGCTGGTGGGGTGAGAGGGTCCATGTAACAGGAGGAGGGGCACTAGTCCTACATTCTGCAGATCCCTTAGACTCCTATAGCCTGGACAGGCCAAGGAGGCGGCAGGCAGGGCCAGAGGCTATTCCTGGTGCAGCCCAGACTGGGCTGCAGGCTGGTGGTCATGGCAACAGCCAGGGGCTGGTGTCCTCAGGTTCCAGGTGCCAGGCAACTTCACTGCTGTTGTCCCACTGTCCACATCCCCCAGGTCGGGTGCATGATGACAGTGACCCCCACGGGCCCATCCCTGGGTAAGCCTTGCTTGAAGACAAGTGCCCCCACAGGACCCCATGTGCTGGCAGAGGGTGGGAGCCGGGTGCCAGCAAGGCCAGGCTGAGGGCACCCCAGATAGACAGATGGCACGACCTCCACCAGCTGATTTTTTGAAGTGAAGGAACTCAGGGCTGTAAGACTCAGATATAGGGACGATTAATCCAAGATTAAGGAAAACTGTCTAAACAGTTTATCTCCCAGTAATAAGAAGGCGTCACAGTTTAGGAACCCAGTGAATGGAGCAATTGTTTAAACACAACGAAAAACCGCCCGGCCTCCAGTGGAGATGGAATGGGCAGCTCAGGAAAATGAAGGAGCAATTTAAAAGCCTTTGAAGAAAATCAATAGACGTGGGCTGCATGGCCTTCCTGGGTGCCGATGGGCCCTGGAGCGCCCGTGCATTGTCACTGAGGTTAGCGGCAGGGAAAAGAAAATTGCTCTGCCTGTGAGGGAGGCGGGATCAATACTGCAGTTAGTAAAGAGACGCTATTTCACATCTGACTGGCCAGCGGCTCAGGCCCGCAGCCTGATACCTGTTTGTTAACAAGCCACCGAGGGCTGGAAAACCAGATACTCTTCAGGGCTGACACAAAAATAGGTACTTAATTTGCTCCAAGCTCGAGCCACCAGGGAAGGGCTCGCCCCGGAGATTAACAGGTCAGGCCCTCCCACCGCTGCCTCTCAGGCACTGTCTCTGGGCAGCTAAGACTCAAGAGTGAGAAGTTATGAAGGGGCCTGCAAGAGGGGGCCTGCCCACAGGCCAGGCCACACAGAACCCAGCCCAGGCCTGGTGGGCCCAAGAGACAGCAGGGTGGGTCAGAACCACCCGGAGGACACAACCTCTGCCTGGCCAGGCCCAGGGGTCACTCATACTGGCCCTGCCGTTCAGGGCCCCTGTGGCTGGGTGTCCAGCAGAGCACTGCCTACTCATGCTGCCTGCCTCCTGCAGGATGCTACAGTGGGCAGAGGCCAGCACAAAATACAACCTGGCCCTACTAACTGTGGCTTCTGGACTGAGTGTGCTTGAATCTGTCTTAAGCTGCCTGCTGCCCCTGGGTCCTCTGGCCCCCCCTGGGTCATGTGGCTTGGGCTGTGCCCACCCGTGAGCTACCTGGGCGCTTTGACTGTTGTAGTTGTTGCTGCTCCCGGGCCCTGGCCTCCGCGTCAAGGGGCTGTCCCGCATCGTCCCTGGGGATGATCTTCCCGTGGAACGGGCACTGCAGACCAAGCAGAAGGGGCTGACTGCTGGAATACGTCCCCTAAGGGGGTGTCCCAGGACCTGCCAGCTGGGGGTGCTGTTATCCTCTTTATTTGGCCTGCTGGCACACACAATCCCTGCACTCTGGGTGGCTAAGGCAGGAGGCTGGCAAGTCCGAGCCTAGTTTGGGAAATTTAGTAACTTAGCGAGACTATCTCAAAATAAAAAATAAAGAACTCGGGAGGGGACTCTGTAGGAGATACCTGGTTCAACACCCAGTACTGAAAATAAAAAGAAAGAGAGAGAGAGAGGAACAGAAAGACAGGGAGAGAAAAAGACGGTTCTGGGCCTCTGGGCAATCTGTCTGCAATGATTTCCCTCCCACGCAGGGAGTCTCTATAGGGCACCTTGGCCTCCTCATTCTCAAGGACCCAGCCCACAAGGGGATCCTGGCACCAGAGGACGCCCACGTTGACTGCAGGGCTGATTGGGAGGTTCCAGTTATGGCTCTGCTATGGATGGGCAGGTTCTACCTGCAGGGGAAGCCCTGGTACCCCAGGGCTCCTCTATGTAGCAGCACCATTCGGGCAGTCTCAACCTCAGATGGCTGGTCCCACCCATAGCCTCACCTTCAGCCGGTCCTGACGCTCACAGAGCCGGCCATCGGGCCTCGGGGCTCGGCAGCGGTGCTGCACAGGCTCGAACTTCCCCGCAAAGGGGATGCGGCGGCTCCGGAGCAGTGCACAGATGCCTGGGCTGTCCACCTCCCCCTCCACCTCGCTGGGCTTCCAGAAGCGGTGCTCAGAGTCGGCCCTGCAGAGCAACCAGTCCTATAGGGCACCTCACAGGGATTGGGCTGAGGGGGCTGCCCCTCGCCTGTGGACAATGTTCCCCTTGGTGGCCCAAACCTGGACACCACGTGAATCTCCTACAAGATCAGGGCCCTCCCCACTGTGCCCTCCACAGGCCGAGGGCCCAGGCTGAGCTCTGCTGGAGCGGCCACCATCTACTTCCGAAGGTCAAATGGCTGCTGAGCACAATCAAGCCTGTCTGGCCCCTACTCCCATCCCCGCTGTGCCCCTCTGCATGGCAGGACCCCTCAGGAGCCCAGATGCATGTGACTAGCTGCTGGGCACACTTGGAACTGAGGTCAGCCCTAGCTTGGGTCCCTGTGCCACTAGGGCCACTCTTGGGGCCACGCTGTTGCTCACCCCAGCCACCCTGGTGCAGTGAGGTTCAGAGGTGGCAGCTGCTTCCCAGAGAGCACAGGCCATGAGCTATGCTAGGTGGGCGACAGGGACATGGGCAGGATCAGCTTTGCCATTAGGGATGGAGCATGGGGCTGGTCTCTCTGGCAGGGCCTCAGCACTGCCCAGGCCTGATGTCTGCCAGCAGAGAGCCTCAGGGAAAGCTACAGTATAGGGGCAGAGCCACCTACCTCCAGGTCCACGGGACCTGGGTGTGCTAGGGCAGTGGCCACACTTGCCTAGTGCTTCTTCCCAGACTGGCAGTCACTGGTGGCTCTGGCTAAGTACCAGCCCGGGTGGCTGGTGGTCAGGTGTGGAAAGACGAATCTCAGGGCTCCAGGATTCTAGATGATGGCTGAAATCCCACCCGCGCCATGCTGAGGTGTCCAGAGAGAAGCAGGCCCACAGCAACGTGGCAGGACAGGCTCCAAGCCGATGGCCCAGCTGCCCTCTATCATTTGTCCTGCTGTGAGGCCAGGCTATAGGTGCACCCACATCGTCAAAACCAGAAAAGGCCACATGGTGAGAACACAGGACTTACAGGCATGTGTAAGCATCCTTGGACACTCCAGGCAGAGTTCCCTGGCACACTTGAGGCACGGGATCCCGAGCGGGGAGACCTTTGCCTTTCCTCCCACCCTCCAGCTGCACACACAGGCAGCTACCCCGGCAGCAGCATCACTCTGGGCCTCAGACGCTAGTGCCGCCTCTGGCCATGGCATAAGCCTGTAGTGGCGAATCTATGGCACATACGGTGCAGCAGGCTGTACCAGCTCTAAAAGGCTCACTGCCACAGACGCAAGTGGACACAGCCGGGCCCATTCAGCTCCTGTTCTTGCAGTAAGCTGCCTACCATCAGAGCCTAGATGAGGGCTTGGACCAGAGCCTCTGCTGGCCAGGCAGGGAGTCTCCTGGAAGGAAAGCTGGAGGCTGAGCCCCCCATGGCTCCACTGCGGGGAGCCATGCCAGGCCAGGGCCCTGCAGCTACTGCCTCATGCTGTGCACATGCCGACCTGCCCCAAAAGGGACAGCTGTAGGGTGTGGGAAGCCTGGGCACCTGCCTCGGCCTACTGCACTCCAGGGACAGCATGCCCTTACTCCCTTACTCACCTGAAGATCTTCCCGGCCATCTGCTCCTCCTGGCCCCAGTAGCATAGGTCCACATCAAAAGGCACGACAGGTGCCCGGGAACGCTCTGCCTCCAGCTTCTGGGCCTCCTCAGGCCCCAGCAGAGTCCTGGAACAGGGTAAAATGTGATGCCCACTATTCCCCCCTACCTCTACTGTGCAGCCCAGGACCTCAGGCAGCAGAAAGGAACCACGGCCTCAGCCACATGGGCCCAGGCTTCACCCTAACCTGGCTCAATACAAGCTCTGGCCACAGCCCATGGCGTACCTGATCCCTGCTCCCAAACCCCAGAGCAGCAGCCCTGCCTGGGGTTCTCAGAGGGGTGACTGGCAGCCACTACACCCTGGCTGATGCACAGACACTTTGAGGTGCCCATCTGAACAGATGTCAACCAGTGCCACTTGGCCAGGGCTGTGCACCCAACCTAGGCTGACACAGGGACCAGGGACCTGGAGTTGACCCAGGCTGGCCAGGCTCTGCACCAGCAACGAAGACACCTGGAGTCACCTGGCAGGAGAGGGTAGGACGGGGGGCAGGGGGTCATGCAGCTGACGCAGCTGAGCAGCAGCAGAGGTGGGGTCCAACGCCTCTTCCTCCCTCTGTGTCCTCCTCCTCGCCTGAGCATCCCATGCAGCTGCATCTCCCACCAGGGTCTTCGGCGGGGCCTTTGGGCCCAGTCCTGAAACAAGATACATGTCCACTTGGCCTCCACGTGGACCTGGAGAGCCGAGCTCCGTGCAGCTGCCCCTCAGGCATGGGTCTGCCCAGGAGATACCATTATCTGGTGGCCGGTGAGGTAGCCCCACCACTGCCACCTCTTGGGCAAGGGCCCCACTCGGTAGGATGCCATGGATGTATGGCAGGGACCTAGGTGGGAGTTCACCCTGGCCTGTACAGCATGGCTGGCAGCTAGTTTGCCCCAGCCCACAGGCACCCCCTGTGAAGATCCAAGGCGAGGCCACCCCTGGTGAGATATAGCCCACCCAGATGCACAGCTGACACCCTAGCTGAGCCTGCAGTGAGGAAAGGAAGGGGACAGTGCCTCTAGCTTTGTTCCTAGCCATCTCTTGCCCCGAGATCCCACCCGTCTGCCCACCCAGGGCATTCCTGGCTTAGCTGCAGCCTCTGAAATGTGCCAGGGCAGCTGGAGCTGGCCCAGCCCTGGGCCTGCTGGGCAGATCCCAAGTCCAACCAGGAGGGGCATCACTGTGGCTGTTCACACTGCCACCAGCTGAATGAGGCCACAGTCCTAGAGTTTCACCAACCTCCCCACAGGATGTGGCAGAAGACATTGAATTCACATACCCAAAGAAGACCAGGAGAGAACCCCCACCATACTTGGCCCATCCCACCTCCCCCCACTCCCCACCAGGGTCCAGCAAGACCTCTTCTGGCTCTCAGGCTGCCAGCTGCAAGGCCCACCTCAATTCTTTCAGGCTCCTGCCAGGCAGGTATGGGAGGTGCCAGGAGAGCCCAGACTAGGACTTGTTGCAGGGCAGGTGGCCTGGATCACAGCCCCTACTCCCCGGGGCCCACCAGCCAGCCGAGAGTAGACTGTGGACCAGCATGGGAGCTGAGGCTTCCAAGAGTATGAAGCCAGGGAAGAAAAAAAGACAAACGAGCATTTCCCAGGCCATGTAGAAACGAGCACACTCTACATCCACAGTCCATGTCCTCCACTAAGGATGAAGGCAGAAAGGAGGCAGAGGAAATTACTCGCTGGACGGCAACAAGGTAGAGCACAGCAGCATTCCTGTAAGCAGCATCGCACCTGAGGTCTGAATGTGGCAGGTGGACACACAAGGATGGATGTCCTCCAGTGTGGAATCTCAAAGCAGGGAAAAGCAGCTGGAAGCAAATTCTGCAGAATTGGGTACTGCAGAGCCAGAGTGAGAACCACAGGCAGTGCTGCCAGGAAGCTGCGCAGACCAAGCACAAGGCAGCCGCACTTTCAAAGGCACACAAGTCCAGGAGAGATGAAGGAACAACAGAAATCAAGCAAATGAGCGGCTGGGGTCTGGCTTGGTGGAAACCATATGCTCAGCTCACAGGAGGCCTTAGGCTCAGGCCATAGCACTGCAAGACTACCCCAGGGAAGCGTGAATGACAGATCTGCATGTAAACTTCTGGGGAACAAGCAGCACGGGAAAACTAGCAGGAGCACAGCTGTTCTAGCAGACAGAAGGTGAAGAGAAAACCAAACAGCAGGGGCAGAGACAGCAATCAAAGAGGAAGTATGGTCGGCAGAAGCACAGCGGCCTGAGGTGGCAGCAGCAGCGAGGTCGGCAGAGCCAGCCAGGGTTGGGAGATGCAGCAGGATGGCAGGGGATGCACTCATGTCAGGGGCTAGCTTTTAAATTACAGAGGTCTGGAGTTTAAGTTAAGACGGCACAGAAATGAAGAGGCACTTGCAGGCTGGAAACGTGGACAGACAATCTTCTTGCCCACACAGCCCAGTGTACAGGACGTATCACCTGCTGCCGAGGAGGTGACGCTTCCCCTCAACCCTGTGCAGGGGATGCTGCTCTGGGAGAGGTACCGAGCCCCAGGCAGGGCACCGCAGCACACGGCTACATGAGGAGACGGAAGTGCCAGCTGCCTTAGGACACCCTGGCAGTCCTGTTCTTGGGAGAAAAGCCATCCCACTCACACTGTCAGAGACTGCTTCTTAGTTAAAGAACAGGACAGTGAGCTCATCTTGCCCATGAAGCCAAGAATACTTCCTGTCCAGGCCTGTGGACAATGTGCTGACCCCTCTCTGAGAACAGAGACAGGGCCATGGCCATGTAAAATGTCACAGCTCAAAGCTGCCTAAGCTCCAGGGCCCTGGGCCGGCTGAGCTGCATAAGTGCCAGGCACCCTCCCCATGTGCTGATGTCCAACAACGTCCCTGGTGTGGCCCACAGGAACTTGGAAATGCCCCACTGGCAGGGCACTGGCCACACACACACACACATACACACACACGTGCACATGCAGCTTGGGAGGCAAGGCTGGTAAGTGAACAATGTGACATTTAGATAGATACAATCGCAGCCAGAGATCAATATGAGAATTCCTGAGAGTTACAAGAATGAAATATATTTTTTATTGATTTGTTGTTTTAAACCATTAAGAAGATGGGTAAGCGTGTTAGAGCAGGGTAAACACACAGGGCACCCAACACACTACCATTTTCACACTGTCGTGGAAAATCAATCTTGCTGACAGACTTTCAAAGTAAGCCCCAAAGCAGAGAGCCCTCTGCAGGTCGAGGCCACATCCAGGAGAGGATGAACGTCGTCCTGGCCACCTAGCGTGGCCTACTGCATCTGACCCAAGCATAGCATCTTCCCTCAAATGTACTCCAGGGGCTGCTTTTAGAATCATAGAGATGTCCAAATGCCCCTTTTTGTTTAAATTGACCAAGTGGCACCTATTTGCCCGAAGCACTAAAGCAGACAGTACGGGAGATAAATCGATAGCAGGAAATGGAGAGGCTGGGACTCCACACAAAGTTAGGCTGCCGAGCCTGACATTATTGATTCTACCTCGTTCAGCTGGCCTTGTAATTAAAATGTAAATTTGAGAAAGAGATTATGTCCTGACAGAAATGGTAGGATTAAGGGGAAGATAAAAGCCCCTCCGTGGAAATTCAGAGAAAGAAAGAGAAAGAAAAAGAGCCTGATTTCCTCACCGTGTGGATTTAGACTAAACCTAACCACTTCAGATTCACCTATGTTTAATTGAAAAAACAGTGACAGAATATAAACTAGTATTATGAACTGTGCTCGCCCGGCAGTATCTAGAGCAGGGTGTTAATCGAGGCCAGAGGGTCCTCCTCACCTGAGCCCCTCCTTCGGTCCTCCAGCTTTGGCCCTGGGCTGCGTAGAGGACGAGACCTGTGCACGGGTGCACTGCATGCTAGAGGCCAGGAGAGATGGCACCTGCCCAGCCACACAGCCAGGCCTGCATCAAGGTCAAAGGCAGATGTCGAAGCCTTTCTCAGAGATACTGCCAGGCTCTCTATCCCCTCCCTCCCTCTCTCCACAGGCCAGGCAGTGGGACCCAGGCCTTGTCACAGCTCTAGAGGAGAGGACAGTCATGAGACAGGTTGGGAAGGACAGACACCAGAGCCTGACAGCCCCTGCTAAGACTTCAGGGTTTCTGGGTCAGGGCTGCCCGGCAGAGGATCTGATCACTGTGCCTGAACAGGTTGCTGTGCTGATCCTTTGACCACCAGGGACCCTGGGGCCAGGACTCTGCAGCTCACAGACCCTCACAGGAGGGTGGGCCCTCTGGCCTGCTTTGGAAGAGACTCGACGGACCAGTAGGTGCGATTCCCTGGGGGACAGTGTGGGGGCAGGGGACTGGCCGTGGTTCCCTGCTGCAGCAACAAGGGCTGTGCTAAGTGTGCTGAACACTACTGGTGACATAGTGCTCTCGTCAGATCCCTGGCTGCTCCCCAGCCCAGCACAGAGGGACCCTTGTGCCGTGGTGAAAGGACACTGCATCCTCTGGCCCACCCTCCTGTCTGCCACTCACCTTGGGCCTCCTCTGTGTGGTCGGAGCAGAACAAAGTCTGAGGAGAGCCACTCCCACCACCCCTGCCCCATCAGATCCCAAATTCTGCTCAAAGGACCTGGAAGCATCCAGATAGGAAGAGAAGCTAGTCCAGAAAATCCAGGTGTGGCCACAGCCATAGTTGGTGCTGGCCGCCAGGCTTCCCTGGAGACCTCAGGAAAAGTCCAGGGAATGAGGTGGGAGGGTGTTAGGGCAGATTGCACACTGGTGAGAAGGAAGGGGCTGGCGGGCTTTTCTTGCTACACACACCTTACTTGGCCCAAGGTCAGTGAGGCACAGCCAGCAGTGTGCCCAGCACTTCCCAGCATGCAGGTTCAATAAGGCCCTGGCCCCTGGCAGAAAAACAGACCCTGGGGAGAGGCTGGCACTAGGCTGGGGAAGGTTGGGATGGAGGGAGGCCTGAAGTCTGAAAAATCTGTGAGGGCACCAACAGCCTGAAGGGGGAGTGGGCTGGGCAGAGCGGAAGCCAGGCTGGGGCAGGCGGCACTGTGGGAGAGTAGCAGCCCTGTCTCCCTGGACACCTCGGGCCAGGCCTGCACAGTGGGCCAGTATAGCTGGACTCTTTCTGGGCACGGGTGAGGGGACATGGGGCGGCAGGAAAGGGAGGTTGTTAGCAGCCTGGTTGTGCTAATTTGGCATGACACCCCTAATGGGTCATGTCTTCACACTTGAGTTGTCTCATCATCTAAATTCTTCTAACAAATTTACATTTCATCTCAGATCCAGTTCCACCCGACTTATCTACTTTGTGACAAACAGGGAGTTCGGGGAGCTGTTTGTTTCCCCCAGACATAAGCACAAGCCACTGCAGGTGGCCCTGGGGCCCGCATCCTCAGGGTTCACCCTCCTCAGCTGCACCTCTCCCTAGGGTATAGGCTTTTAGGTTCATCTGAAGAGTGGGAAGCTACTCCTGGCTGCGGGTTAGTAGGTGCCAGACACTCAGCAGACACACAGCTCACTCCTAACACCCTAAGCAGTGGACTGAGGTAGGCTGGGGCCCAGCGGTGAGCATGGGCCCAGTACCTCCCCTCCACCTACCCTGTACCCCCTCACAAAGTCCCTGGCCCAGGGTTAGGATACAGGACTGGGCAGGGGCAGGAGGAGCCTCGTTTGCAATGCAAGTAGCCTTCATCAACACTGCCTGGAGCATGAGTCAGCAGAGTAGGCTGGGTGCTGCCCAGCAAGACCATCAGCTGGACATCTGGTCATAGATCCAAGGGCAGGATCCAGAGTGGGCCCTCCTTCCAAGGCATCCCTGCCCACGCCCTCATAGCTCACCGTACTCGCCCCAGAGGTGGTCAGGGATGTGGGGCTCGTACCCCTCCTTCTCCGGGACTTCCACAAAGTCCTCGTCGTCCTCATCGTCCCCATCCCCTGGTACTCCTATCTGTGGAGACAATCCAGTCACCCCAAGTCCTGACAAAAACATTAGGCCCCACACATAAGACAGTCACAGCAGGGAGGCTGGACCTACGGCACACACAGCCTGCCCTATGGCCCAGGCACCAAGTCCTTTGCGGTCACCCCAAGGCCCCCCAGGCTGCAATCTGGAAGTTGGCCTGCAGCAGTCACAGCATAGCCCATTTGCCCAGAGGTCTGGAGACCTAAGAAAAAGCCCAGGAGCCAGAAAGCAAGCTATCTGGTGCCCACTACCCTCTTCCTGCCAGCTTGGTGGTGGCACTGAGGCAGAAACCCTGGCCTCCCTAGGACTGCTGCAGGTCATGCCACGGTATGCCAGAGCACATTGGTAGGTCAGGGCCACAGCAGATAGTGCCAGCACCCATCCTCAGATCCTGCACACACAGCTCGTCAGGGTCTCCTCTTCCCAGAGAAGTACCCAGGAGACTTAGCCTTCTTGAGACCACAAGGCACCAGGCACAGGCTAGGGGGTGGGACACCCACAAGCAGCCCAGGTAAAGATGTCCAGGAAGGTCTCTGTCATATGAATGCCAACCAGGGGTACTCCAGTGCTGTCATCACCAAGAAACTTTGAAAAACTTCTCCATTTGACCCCTCAAAGGCACTTGGTCTTGGCTCTTATTCCTGAAGGGTACAGGAGACAGAGGAGGGGCCCCTGACCTATGTCCCCCATAGCCACTACACGCCAAGTCTAAGCAAGTGACAGCTGTATGAGAACAGAGGCCTGCAGTGGTGGCTACTCACCTGGGGAGTGTGGGGCCCTGCACATGCATGGCTGGGGGCCCAGGCCAGGCAGTGTGTCCAGCTGAGCCGAGCAGTGGCTGGTGCCCAGCCGGAGGCTGCTGCCCGCCTGGGAGCATAATCAGATGCAAATGCACTTTGTTTAGGTGCGGCCCACGGCTGTGCATCTGGGAAGCACGGGAGACATTAATCATCGGAAACTGTAATTTTTGTTATCAGTCTAACACTGATCAAAAGGGAAGCCTGTCTCCACCACTGACCTGTGAAACGTCCCAATTATACTCTTTGGAAATGACAGGGGCACTTAACTCCCGAGCTGAGCAAATGACGACGATCAATCACATTTGAATAACAATGAGCCACGGACCTGAAAATTATTTTTGTATAGAATCTACCCAGGAATTTATGAAAGGTGGAGAGCAGCCCAAGGTTCTAGGGCATTACGGTTCCCGGCTTGCGCAGAGCAGCTCACACACTAAACAGAATTTATGTGTTTTAATTTTCTAAAAGGTAGATGTGGACTGGGTGCTACAATGCATAACATATCGTGCCAGGTTTTAAATATGGGGGTCATTTTCATAAAATATTATGCTTATTGCTTACACCCTTGAATTTCACTGGGGATTTTTATCAAATTTTCATTTCCTAAAAAATATTCAACTGCTTAGCTAACTATTAGGAATTTACTTCTTCCTCCTCAACTGAAGTCGCTTATTTCTGAAGCAATTTGAAGTCCTGGGTTCCCCTTTGTTCCTAAATTAGCCCTGGGAGGCTTGGCTGCCTCTCTCTCTCTGGGGGTGCTGCTCAGCTCCCTGCAGACCCTGCTCTAACGAAGCTGATGCCGGGACTCTTCCAGAAGCAAGCAGCTGCCCACATCCATGATTCACTATGGAATTACTCAGACCACAGAAACCAGAATTTACTCTGACGCCAACACTGGGGCTAGATTCGCTCAGGCTTTGTCCCCTGCTGGAGAACAGGGAGGCTGCACATTCCCAGGCACCAAGTTCCAGGGACGCCAGGCTCCTCCGTGGCACTGCTGATGTGGAGGAAGGCAGAGAACTGCTAAGCCAGCAGTCTTGGGGACACTTGTGAATCACCGGTGTGGCGGAACATGGTCCTGAGGCTGGAACAGCAGACTGGGAAGGAAGCACCCTCAGGAGCCGCTGTGGTTCAGCTGCAAGGCGCCAGGTAACCAATGAATGGCGGCAGTCCCATTAGTGCCCACCTGCCCTCAGGATCACAGATGAGGTCAGACAGAAGCTAGCCCCAAAGCGGGCATACAAGGTCACAGAACTCCAGGAGGGTGGAGCACAGTGGCTGGAAGCTTGAGGTCCAGGGAAGGAGCTCATGACCACAAGAGACCATAAGGGCCTTGCCAAGATCTTCAAGATGGAAGATCTTCAAGATCTTCAAATTTTTCAAGAGCAGTCTGCTCAGGCCCACCCAGGCACAGAGCCAGCACCACAGTCCCCTGCGCCGGAGTGCGTGTGGCACCTCCCAAGGGCAGGCAGGCAGGCACCTTCACCACACAGTCCTCCACAAGTGATGCCCCAGCTACCTGGGAGGGTGGGGTGTGTGTCAGAGCCCTGGGGGGGGCCACTGGAGGGGCTGAGCTGTCCCCAGGCGGCAACTGCAGACCCCATAGCCTTTGCCCTAGCATCGACATGGGTGGCACATTGCTGGTTTTACACAAATTGATTCTCGGGTGCAGTTAAAAGGATTTAGAAAAATGAATCTCCACAATCATAATTAAACAAGCAATAAAATGGCTAAAATATACAACGCAATCAGTTCACAGAAGAGGGGTGGTGAGGTTGCTAATTATTTGCAAAGGAAAAAGACGACGACGTGGTGCCCAGGAAGCGGGGTGCTCGCCTGTCCATAGCCCACAGATACAGCTGGGACCATTAAATAAATTCTGCACGATCTAATTAACTTGGTGCGCAATCTCAATTACTTTTCACCCAAGAAATCACTTTTGTTCAGTTTTATGTGTGTCTATTTCCCTTTTAAAAAAAAAAATGATGTAAGGCCTCGTCAGACAAGTGAGTTCCAAGCTGCATTTGTCTTTCAGCAGCTTGATGGCTATGCATTTAAAAACCCATTCTATCTTATAAACTAAAAATTAAACGTGCTCAGCTGTGATGGTCGTCATTGCATCTGCTATTTATATGCTAATGCCCTCCCTGGAAGGCCGTGCAAATTGCTGGCCAGGCCAATATCTCATGTGCATCTCCGGCTGCCAGGGACACACCTTCAAAGGATGGGGTGGCTGTGCTGACCACTTGGGCACATGGAAACAGACACCCCACCAACACAGGTACCAGGCCCACGTCAAACCTGCAAGATGCAGGCAGGGCACCTGCAGTGTGCACTTACCTCCCAACCGGCCTGAAAATTACACTGGGCTAACCCATCATCTTAAGAAATGGCTTTTTAAAACATCTATGCTCATCCCAAGATCTCAACGATGTTCCACAGTGCAGAGGCAATCCTAGAGCTGCCTGCACATACAGCAGGCTGTGAGGACTCAAGAGCCATGTCCAGTCCACTGGGGAGTGTGAGATAAGAGGCCTGGTCACATGCAAGGAGTCCGAGTCCAGAACTGGCCAAATGGGTATGGAGGGGACCCTACCAGCCACTGAAGGCTGGGGCCTAGGTGATCAGGTCAGCACTGCTCCTAGACCAACAACCATCCTGGGACTCTGCATAAGCTCTGTTCCCAGAGAGGGGCAAGAGTGGCGTGGAGAAGTCAAGTCATCTCTGGGTCATCTGCACCTTACCCAAACTGACATCACACCCCCACGGAGTGTATAATCGCAAGACACTGACACCTCAAGCCTAATAATGCCACCCCCTCCCCCCAGGAGCTGACAAAGCCTAGGAGGTAAGGAGGGAAGCCAGGGTGCTCTGAGGGCTCCTGCCTAAGTGATGGGACAAGGTACTCACTGCAGCCTGCAGTCTCGGGGAGAGCAGCCAGCACCCAGCAGCAGGCCAGCTCCAGGGAGCAGGAGAGTGTGCTGTGCTGTGCAACGACACCAAAAGCATGGGTGGCGGGTGGCAGGCAGCAGGCAGTGTCCCAGGTCCCCCAGTCAGTTTTCTCATTTGTACAATAGGGTGCAAAGAAACAGCCTGCCCCACAGAGCTGCTTTGGGATGAGAAGGGCAACCCATGGAGGATGTCTGAGAAGGCCTGGCCCGCTGGGGAGCTGGTAACTGACAAGACACCCATAGACAGGGAGTGCCCGGGGCAGAAGGGTGGCAGCAGCTGGCATAGATGCTCTCCCAGTCCTTGAGCCTGACCTCAAGGGATGGGGCCGTCGGCCCTCCCCCATCCTTCCCTGCCACCCCGAAGGTGCAGGGTGGTGGTGCACGGCTTGGCCTTCAGCGTGATGGAGAGGGCTGAAGCTCCCAGGAAGGTTGTTAACCGGCCCTGCTGCAGTGCAAAGCTTCCTGGCACGGCTGATTTAGTTTCCCTGCCTTCCCCTGCGTGTGCCTGATGGGTCCAACATTTCATTCCCTGGGGGTTCTGCTGCTGTCCTTTTCACCTCCAGAGGCCGAGCGGCCACAGCATCACAGCAAAGCGCCCAACATGGCAGGCCCGGCTGGGGAGCAGTGCAGTGGGGGCAGGAGGTAGCCAGCGTGAGAACCCGCCCACAGCACCATCACAGCCAGGCTGCTGCCCCTGGCACCATGACCACGAGCACAGAGTGACCGAAAACACAGAGACCATATGCAGCAGAATAGCCCTGAGGATGGCAGCTTGCAGTCACAGAAAGAGGAAGGGACAGTGGCGGCCACAGATGACACCTTCCCCAGCCTGGTTGTCGGGAAATTAGTATTTTGTTAATTACACAATGCGAAATAACTGGTGATGTGAGTAATTAAAAGATAGGCAATTTAAAAGTTTTCAAAGGATTTTTATCAGTTTAACAAATGAGGCAGCCCTGGGTTACTTCAGCTTGCCTGTAGCATAGCTGGGTAGAAACTAAATCTACCCAATGACCCTCCACATCGATCCGGCCCAGATTTATCCCCAGCTGGCTGCCTCCGGCACAGAGACACAGATGCTCTATAAAACAAACACACCTATTTAAAGAGGCTCAAGTATTTTCTGAAGACACAACAGCTATGTCAAAAGGAAAACAGTATTACATAGGAACCAATGACAACAGATGGAAAAGGGAACCCTGGTGACAACCTGCGGTATGACCTCCTCAGCCACAATGCCCCTTGATGCTCTCCAGGGTCTGGGCTGCCGTCAGCTGGTTTTCATGGGTAACACTGGACGTGTTATGCTCTCTTACACATTTGTTAGAAGTTCTAAAATATTTAAATCACGCGTTATTGAATTAGCACTGCCCGCTCAGCCTGTTCTACACGCAGAGTTAACGATGCCCATCCGCATTAAATGGGGAAACACTAAGGGGAATGATTGCAACCCTCCGTAAATTTTATTTGAAAATTAGTAAAGAACACCTCTTCGTAATTTCTAATTAAAACAGCTTTAATTAACACAGCCATTCATTAGTTGGCCCCACCTGGCCTGCACAGGTCACTGCGGGGCGGAGTGTGCTGGTCCTGCAGGCGCCAGGAGGGGGAGGAGCTGAGGGGAAGATGGGCAGATACTGCATCTGTTCCAGGAAGTGGTGCTCACCTGAGTTGGGCACTGCCACTCTCCGCCACAGCCACCCATCACTCATCTGAAGCGGCCCCACGATCCAGCAGCAGAGAGCAAAGTCCCCAAGGATTCTCGAGCGCTGCCTCTCATTAAATCAGTCTTCAGAGAAGGGTTATCCCCAGTGACAACAGCACAGGGTGCTATCTCCCTCCCAATGCTGTGACACTCAGCCAGCCTTGCACACTCCGACAGCAGCAGCCTGTGCCCTGCACAGTAGCCTTGCAAGAGCCTGCAGGCCAAGCAGCAGGACAGGAAGGGCCCGCACCCACTGCACAGCCCACAGCCAGACCTAAGCGCAGTCAGGCCCAAGCGCAGCCAGGCCCAGCTGCACATGGGCTGCTCAGAGGCACAGGAGAAGACTGTGCAAGGCTGAGATGGGGCCAGCAGAAGCAATGGAGTTAGGGGGCTGTCGTGGGCCTTGGCCATTGCACCAGCCCTGAGCTGCCTGTCACACAGGGTCATGATGGCTCTAGCGGGGCCACATCTGACACCTCTGTGTCTGTGCCCTACAAGAGTTTGAAAACAGCCTGGCCCTAATGGAAACTGTAGCTGTGCACCTGGGGTACAGTGGCAGGAAGCCGAAGCTGTTGGGGGACAGGGCAGCTGGTAGGGTCTGGGCAGGTAGTCAAGAAAAGCAGAGTGTGGCACAAGGCCCCACTCAGTCTCGCTGTGCACAGCTGTCCCAGCAGGTGGGCAGGAGCCATGGCACAAGAAGACTTCAGCACCCTGTGCCTTGGGGACTCAGCTGCAGCCTGAGCTGCTGACCTGGGCCTGGCTAGAAGGATGCAGGTCTCCTCCACCACTGGCCCATTTGGAGCCTTGGGAATGGGAGCTTGGGGTTTTACTGGCCCTAGCTCTGCTGCTGGCTCCAGAAAGCCCACACAGGCTGGTGATGCCCAGACCTGTGAACACAGAACAGTGCCACCTCATGGGTGTCAAAGCCCTGTGCCTGTGCCCTGGAGCACAGGTGCCACAGCCAGGCCACTAGCAATGTGACCACCATGGACAGAAGCTTGGTCTGGCCCAGCCCTGACAGGAGAAATCAGGTACATCTCAGCACAAAGCCGAATTGTAGGTTGGTCCTAAGGCACCAAGAAAGGGGACCCCAGGACTCTAGCACCAGAGCCAGCCCTGACACCCTAACCACCTCGTGGCATCCTGGCTGCTGACTTGCTTGCTGGAACAACCGCCATCCCCCACAACGGGATATCACTCTGCACTGTGCCCAGAGCTCACAAGCTCATCTGCTGCATCAGTAACTGTAAGGTACCCCAGAGCACCCACAAAATGACCTGCACATCTTGTCACAGCCTGAGCTCCCCATCACAACACTTGGATTTGCAGGTTTACGAGAGGAGCAGAGCTGCCCTCTGCTGGCTGGGGTGGGGGTTCACAAGCTGTGCTCAGGCAGGGATCTTCCAGAGCTCTAAAGCTGGGCTGCAACACCTGCCCAGGGGCACTGCCCATCACTCTCAGTAGACAAAGAGTTGCCCTCCCTGGGTCCTGGACTGGACTTCTGGGTGATTTTGAATGTTATATTTTGCTCAGCAAAGAACAGTGCTCTTTCTTCCTGAAAGCAACCTTCAAAAGTAGGGGTGGAAGGGCCGGGGATTCAGCTCAGTGGCATAAGCGCCTGCCTTGTAAGTGCACAGTAATGAGTTCGATCCCTGGTACCAAAAAAAAAAAAAAAAAGTAGGGGTGGCAGGAGGGCCAGCATGCCCCACTGGCCTGGGGCTGGGCCCCCAGGGAGAGGTTATCAGTGTATGTCCTCGGTCCTGAAAGCAGATGAAAACCACCACAGGAGCAAGAGAATGGGTGGTCAGCTGGTCTCAAGGGCCCAGCTATGGTTTCTCAAGGTCAAACAGCACCAAGTGTAGCCCCTCTCCCAATGGGCTGCTAAGCAACTCACATGGGACCCAGCTTGGGTCCTGGTGCAGTGGTGCCTCCTGTCTGACAGCAGCTACGCTGCCTAGCAACCACAATCCTATAGCAGCCCTCAACAAGTACCCTGCACTCGGGGGGAGCATTTCCCCCTGCCCGGACCAGTGGCCCAATTCTCCCCAGACACCTCGGTCCCTTCTGGGTCCAGCAGACAGCAGCCTCGGGTCTCTCCGATAGTGGGCATAGGGCCCATGCTCACCACTGGCTGGCAGATTCCCAGGAGCCCAACTCACTGCTGGTGGGGGTAGCTCCCCAGAGGAGTCCCACCCAGTGTGCTTAGCCACACATGGGATGAACAGAGAGCACTGGCAGCAGGGATGGTGCCAGTGACTCACTGGGGGCGGCCCTACCCTGCATTCTCTGCCCCGGCAAGGCTGTCACACATCAGCACCAAGTGAGGAAGGTAGGGGTTCTCCCAGAGCCTTGGCCACTCCTGCCTATACAGGACCAAGCTCACACCAGGCCACCAGACCCTCAGCACACACTGACCTGGTACTGCCCACTGTCAGGCTCAATATTGAGCTCCTCATACTTCTGCAACACGAGCTCCAATTCCATCTTCAGGTCAATGGCGCGCTTCAGGTGTCTACCATGGGCTGCAGCTCGGGTAAACCGCTGCAAAGCGGGGAGTTATGAGGGCCGTGCAGCCCAGGAAGCCAGGCTCCTCCAGGTAGGGCAGCTCACAGACTGGGCCCAGCCCCATGATGAGCCCTGCATCCACCATTTGTCCTGCAGCCCCACCATCCACATCCTCGCTCTGCCAGGTCTCTTGCCCTCTAGGGACACCAATGTTCAGGACCCCGCCTCACCTGCACCCAGGAGCTCACGGCCGGCAGGAACTTGTTTCGGATCAGCTTGAGTGCGTCTCGGGCAGCATGGAGGATAACGAGGTTGTCCTCATTCTCCTGCACCTTCAGGCTCTCTGGAAAAGATGGTGATCATGAGGACCCTGAGACTGACCACACAATAGAGGCTGGTACAGCCCAAGACACACACAGGGTGCCTGCCTGTGCCACCTGTGTTCCTTGGGAGGGAGACTCTCTGGATGTTGGATGGGAGCCCCAGCTCCTCACTAGGGTGCCCACGCCCCTCCTCCCCCACAGACAGTCTTGGCTATGGCCACCTGGGCCACTCAGATGGCGAGCATGGCAACAGGTTTCCATGCCAGAGCATGCCTGCCCATCCTACCACTCGGGCCCCTGCTCTTAGCTGAATGGCTTGTCCTCAGGCAGTGACCCCAGCTTGCATGTGGCCTCTGTGGCAGCTTCCCCACCACAGGCCCCTGGCATGCAGGGCAACCAGCCCTCTCACTCCTGATGCCAGAGCCTGGGGACCAGGGGCTCTCACAGCAAGCACCTGGCAGCTTTGTCTTGGGGAGGGTGGCTGCTGTATCAGCTCCCAACAGGGCAGCCCATCTGAAAACAAAGCCACAAAAACGATAACAAGAAGCCACACGACCCTAAAGTGGGAATGTGTGACTGATTTATACTTGACACTGTACACACAGTGAGAAATCATGCAATTACACTCTCTGCAGGCGAGGTGGGGACCATGGCAAGCCTACAACCAGGCAGGATAGCTGCCCAGGGCTCCTTGGCCACTCATGGCTTCACCTGCACAGGCTGCAGGAGTAAGGAGTGTCTGGGAAGGAAACCCGAGGTGCCACCTACAGGTCTGGGCTCTAGTCCCCAGGAGGGTGGGGCTGGAGAATTGGGCAGCACAGGGGACCCCTTACCTGAGGAGAGCTCTATAGCCAGCGTGTACTTGTGTGAACCAAGCCCATGGCTCCGCACGAACTCCTCCAGGTCACTGCCTTCTTCCTCGTCCTCTGAAGGATCCTCTGGTGCTATCTGGGGCAGCCCCTCCCTACCACCAGCCGCTCCTAGGTGGCACGCTGAGGCAGGCAGGTCTCTGCTGCAGCATGGCTGCTCCTCATCCTGGGGGTCAGAGCCACCAGATCGGCCAGGGGTAGCCCAGCCAGGGCCTGGCGTGTAAGAGGCATCCTCTGAAGATGCACTGGGATTTGGGCCCAGGTACAAGGGCACCAGCAGCTTGAAGCAGTTCTCCACCTCCGTCAGACAGCAGGCAATCTCCTCAGACATTTCTGTCAAGAAATGGAGCCAGCTAAGCAAAAGGGAAGTCAGCCCTAAAGGTCAGACCTGCTTGCTACGTGGGCACTGTCCAGAAGCAGGTGAGCCAGAGGCCTCTTTCCAGGGAAAGCTGGAACCCTGAGGGCAGCTCCTCACCATCCCACAAGCCAGTGGATCCAGCTGGGACAGTGGGGCACTTCTAGGCAACTATGGAAGCACACATCACAACTGCAATGGGACAAACCCAGTAAGGGGTGACCAGCCTGGGCACTGTACCCCACTACACATGGTGATCAGATACTAACACTACCTTGCACCCTCTTCCTCAGGCTGTCCTCGGGACACAGTTTTCCATCTGAGGGCTCATGCAAGGCCCAGGATATCCAGGAGTGCCCCCACCTGGGACAGGTATCTGGGAGGCCTGGGGACATGTAACCTGTCTTGGGGTGCTCTGCAGGTACGTGACTGCACCCCTAGGCTCTGTACCCGGCATGTGACCTAAACCAGGGCTGCCTGCCAGATCCTGGTTGGGACTTTGGAAAGGACACAGGCGAGGGCAGCAGAGTCCATAAGGTGAATGGATGAGAGGGCTCAGCCAGGCCACCCTGGAGACCAGCAAGGACCAGGTCCACGAAGCCTCACCACAGGGCTTCACGGCAAATGACCGCAGATGATGCTTACCTGGAGGACAGGTGGCCAAGGTCGTCCACACAGGTGCAGCCTGACCCAAGACCTCTGTCCAGTCTGCTGGCCCCTGGGGTTCTGAGGAATAGGGTAGCAGGAGAACAGAGGCACCAGCCCTGCCCGGGAACTCACCTTCCATCTCCCTCTTGGCCTGCTCGGCTCTCTCCCCATAGATTCTATCCAAGTGCTTCTGCTTCTCCTCTTCCCGCTTCCTCTCTGCCAAAGTCCTGGCATTCACATCCTGAAAATCCACCTGAGAAACTGATATTTAAGACAGGGGCCTACCCAGCACACAGACACACACACAGACAAATCCAGGAGCACAACAGGTACCAGGGCCCCCAGGTTCATGAGTCCATGGTGTTCACACACCTCACCTTACTGCCTGGTCTTGCATGTGTGCCACCTGAGATAAAAACATTTTACCCAGCCAAGTGTGGCAGTACAAGAGACATCCTAGCACTCTGCGGCAGGAGGACTGCAAGTTAAACCCTGGCCTCAGCAACTTAATAAAACTCAGCCTTAAAACAAAAGGCTGTAAGAAAGGCTACAGCTCAGTGCAAAGAATCCTCAACACAGAGGTTTGCGGGGAGTGTAGACTACCAGCCCCAGTCAAGCATGGTAGCACACCTGTCATCCCAGATACTCAGCAGGAGGAAGCAAGGCTGCTTAAGGCCAGGAGAGTTCAAGGCCTGCCCAGGCAATGCAGTGAGACCCTGCCTCAAAATAAAAAACAGACAAAACTTAGAAAAATACATCCTGCTGCCAGCAAGACACAGGTAGAAGACTCCCTCAGCCAGCAGCCAAGAGACAGCCAAGCGGACCCCAGGGCCTTGACACGTGAGCATCAAACGTGAGCCTGAGTGGTGGCATGCTGCTGGCTGTGGGAAGGCCAGGCCATCTGCCTTCGGCAAGGGCACGGCAGGTTCTGAGTAGGGGGAAGACAAAAGTGCAGACCCTAGACAGTTTCATCATATCCAGGATAGCCACGGTCCACAGTAGGTTCTGAGGGGACTTACGGTGTGACAGTGGGGCAGGAGTCATGCCAGGGTGGGGTGAGCATGTGAAGCTGGCACCTTGAATGTCGACCCTCCCCCAGGCAGTCCAACAGTCCCTGCCCAGGCCCATCAGCCCCATGCACCTGGCCTGGGGAACCCTTCCCCTTCCTGCCCAAGTCTGGCCATCTAGCTCTGGGGAATCAGGCAGCACTTTTACTTGAGGCCCACTCACTTTTTTGGTGTGTCTCAGGAAGTGGTAGCCCAAGGCAAGCTTCTTATAGGCCTTGCCAAACCGCTCATTCCACCCTTCCACAGCATGCATGGCTGCCTGCTTCAGCCTCTGGGCTGCTTCCTTGGGGGGTGGCAGGGGCTGCTCATGGTCGGTCCCCAGCGTGAGCTCCAGGAACTCCTGGAAGTCGGAAACGAGCAGCACCCTGAACTGGTGAGACCTGGCGAAGAGCTCATCCACAATTTGGAAAGCAGAGAGACGGATCTCAGCATGGTCCTGGCTCAGCTGGGTCATCAGCAAGTGGTAGGCATGGTTGAGCTGCTCCTCTGAAGACCTGGGGTTACAAGTCAGCCTGACCCAAGTGCTGAGCACTTGAAGGTCAGGTCAGCCTGTGCGCCTTGTGTAGGGACACACAGTAAGGCCTGCAGTTGAGGCCGTCTTTGCCCTCCCCTTTGGGAACAGGGTTGGTGGCACTAAACACAGCTATCACCTGGCCTACTTCTGTCTGGCCCACAAGCCAAGAACATTCTTTACATTCTCAAGGGCTGAATGGCTGCAGGTACAGGTCAGTGGTAGAGTACTTCCCTAGCACATGCAAGGCTCTCAGTTTGATCCTTAGCAACCTCCCATAATTTGATACATGGCAGATAATTTAACATGAAAATCTGACTTAAACATCAGTGGCTGTCAGTATTCACACTGGCATACAACCTGCCTATCTGTGTACATCGCCCACAGCTGCCTTGTGAGCTGAGTCACTGCTGCAGAGCCCTCACAACAGTGCAGTCCTGTGTTACCAGTTGCCCTCTACGGATAACTGACAGAACAGCCCTTGCCTAGCAGAACAGACCTCAGTTGGGGATCCAGCCCTGGCCTCTTTGGTGGGAAGTTCCAGAAAAGGCCAGAGAGCTCTCTCTGGGGCCCATAGGCATTTCCTCGGTGGTTTATAGTACACACCAGGTGGGGAAGGGAGCAGCACACCTGCACCTGACGTAATCATCTAAAGTGTGGGTCAGTGATAAGAGTGCTTGACTAGGGCTGGGGATTTAGCTCAGCGGCATAAGCGCCTGCCTTGCAAGTGTGTGGTCATGAGTTCAATCCCCCATAGTGATAAAAAAGAAAAAGACAAAAAAAAAAAAAAAAAAAAGTGCTTGACTAGCATGCTTGTGGCCCTGGGTTCAATCCCCAGATGCACAGTAAAAGATTGTACCATGAACTATTTCTTTTCATGTTCCAACAACACAAATTTACCCATACACCTACACATATAGGGCAGGTAAGAAGCAGCCAGAGGAAAGCCTCTGTTTTCCTACAACTGCACATCTGCCCTGAGTCGTGGCTCTGCAGGGCCTGGGAAACTGTCTGGGTGTCTCCTGTATGGTTCTGTCCAGGAGGAGGCAGGCAGGGACCGCTCAGACAAAGGTTGGGGGGGGGGGCACTGCAGGGAAGTCTGCCAGCTCTAAGACGTCAGGGCCTCACCGTGCTAGCTATCACAAAATGCTGCCCCTACAGACATACTTGCAGAGTTTCTTCAGTTCTTTCATTTGTTCAGGATTCAGCTGAGGTTCTCCTGACGTTGTGAGTGCTTCTATCAACTGTGGAAGTTTCTGATCCATATCTAGGAATAAGGGAACACAGAGATGCTTGATTACCAGCCTGTTCTTTACGGTCCTGCTTTATCACCGAATGTTTACGGCACGCCCCTCGGGGCCAGGCAATGCAGGAGGCGCACTGACACTGTCAAGTGCAGTGACTCTGGGAAACATGAGTGCTCAAGAGGCACTGGGGCGAGTCCAGCAAAGCCTTTCCGTGTAACTAAGAAGTTTCAAGGATGAGACGTGTGAGCGCCGCCGCTGTCCATGTCTCTGTCCCAGTAGGGACAGCGCTGGACGCCAGCGAGGTGGAGTCTAAGCAGGCGGCCGGACGCGCGGTAGTCACTGCCAGCCCGAGCCCAAAGACAGAGGCTCTGTACAAGACACACCGACCGTTCCGATCCCGTCGCGCCGACAGGATCCCCGGCCTGGCGACCCCGCCCAAGAGCGCCCCATCTCAGCGGAACCTACTGCTTCTCAAGGCCGCTCGCTCCCTTCCGGGAGGGGCAGCACCGCCGGTCACATGCCTAGAGCTCGGCGCCCATTGGCTCGCTCTTGCTCCACCGCGCAGAGAGAAACTGTCAGCAAGACTGCGCCCGCACTCCTCGCCCCTTCCGGCGAAAGCCCTGCTAACCTCCCATCACTTATCCGAGGCTGGCAGCCAGTGGTCCGCAGGCGCAGGCGCGAGGACGAGGCGGAGTTCTGCGGGGTGACGTAGCACGCCCGGGGAGGAGGCCGGTGCTGCGCAAAGGATAAGCGCGAGAAAAAGGAGGCGGGAGGGCGCAGCAAGTCCTTAAAGGGGCCGCGGGTGCAGGCGCAGTGAGTGGAGCCAGACTTCCGCCCGCGCCGCTCACGCTGCCTGCAACACTGAGGTTCAGTGGGAGGTGCCAAGGCCTGAAAGCTTCAGTCCTCTGCATGGTTCCCACCGCAGCCCTGGTGGGAGCGGGTACGAGGCTGCAGACTGGCGGGTCCAGAAGGGGTGTCCACCGCAGCGCCCCGCCCTGCGGCCCCCGCAGCCCGGCTGGCCCGGCCCGGGAGGTTGTGTCCGCGGAGCGCTATCACCTAGGAGAGGAGCCCCTAAACCCCCTGCTCCCACGGCCGTGTTTCCCGGGGGGTCGGTGCGCGGCCCCTGGGGCCCCGCCCTGCCCGATGCATCTGCTCCTGCTCGCAAAGTCATCGTCCAGCCCCCCAGCGACGTGTTGTGAAGATTGGGTGTCAGCTCCCTGTGATCACCAGGGTGGTGGTGGGGGAGGTCTGTGAGGTTCACCTGCAGATGTCAGGCCTCCTACAGCATCCAGGCGGCCTTTCTGCTGTCCGCCTGGGCATTAAGCCCTCACTCCCAGTCCAGTCCATTTGTGAACCTCGACAGCCCTACCTTCAGAGCATGTCCCACCAACACAAGTCCAAGCCCAATCCCCGCCCTGTGCCCTTCCTCCTGCCTGTGTCTCTGCTGCTCCTCATGCAGCAGCCAGTGAGCTTCAGAGGCTGGGGTCAGATCTCATGGCTCCCAGCCGTCAGACTCAGGAGCAGGTCAGGGATGCTGCCTGCTTGCCTGGGCTTGCCGACCGCTCTCGGCCACTCTCGCCGGTTTGGGCCCTGGCACCTTGCACAGGAGAGCTCACACTTCTCAGTTACTGTTCCCTTTGCAGCAGCATCCTGCACCCTCCCCCCCCCCCCACTACTTCTCAGAGCACTCAGTCTTCTGTCCCAGGCTTGTGGTATCACTGGTTGTCTTCTCTTTTCCACCCCAGGGCCTAGTATATGTAGATGATTGTGCTTTTACATGATGTGGTGGTTATGGTTAAGTCTAAAATGCCCTCCCAAAACACTGGAGAGAGTCAGTGGGATGTGACCTAGAAGGATGCATTCTCATCCTCAACTGCTTCCTGGCCACCCTGTGGTGAGCAGGTCCCCTCCACCATGCCAGTGTACCATGCTGTTTGTGCCTTGGAGCCAGCTGACCATGCACTGAATCCACTGAACCTCTGAACCAAAATAAGCCTCTCCTGAGTTGAACATAGTTGCAAACATCCCTAGCAAAATCCAGCAGGCCAAATCCAACAAACTGGAATTTACCTCAGCAGTGCCCAAGTTTAATGACCTGAGGTCAGTGTAATTGTCCATATGAACAGAATAAAGGAAAAGCATCATGATAATTTTATTATAGGAAGAAAAACATTTTGAAAAAATTCAACATCCACTCATGATTATCATGGATGAGAGTGGAACTTCCTCAGCCTGATAAAGGACATTTACAGAAAACCCACAATAGTGTCATGCTTAACTGTGCAAGACTTTACTGTCTGCTCCTAGACTGAAACCTCCACTCCCACTCTGTTCCATACTGCCCTGGAGCCTCAATGGCTGTGGTAGAGAAAGAGTGAAAAGTGGAGCACTTGGAGAGGGAGAAGCCAGGCCATGTCGAACTGCAGTGCAGAAGGCCTGAAAATGGTACCACAGCCGCAGAGCTCATAAGGCTGGCACAAGATCAATAGATGAGCATGCAAACACCAGTCATGTGTCTTTAGACTACCAACATAAAATCTACAAGGGCATATTTTAAAAATATATCTATAATAACAGTAACCGTTGTGACATAAAGTTAAACTAACAAAATACATGTACTCAGAACTGTAAAGCTGAGATGAAAGGTTGAAAGGTTATGGAGAGGAAGAAATGCACCATGTTCATTGATTGGAGGACTCAATATCATAAGCTTTTAAAGTTTTTGCTGTGGACTGAACTCCATCCCACTAGATTCATTTGCTGAAGCTCTGGCCCCAGTGTGACTGCATTTGCAGAGGTCTCCAAAGAGGCAGGGAAGGTTAAGAAGGTGACAAGGCTTGGTCACGAATGTGCTAGGATGGGTGGCCTTAAGGAGAGGAAGGGCCTTGTGAGGATGTGGGATGGTGACGGGTTCCGCCCGTTTGAAACTGTTAGGCCCAGCATTGCGCTGGATCCTAAAACGACAGTGTGTCCCTGCAATACTGATTTTCAAGTTCTTCCAAACCTGAACTGAACTTCCTGCTTTTTGTGAAGGCACACCAGCATTCCTCCAATCAGCTTTCAATATTTCATTCTGCCCGCCCCTTCAAACTCCACCCCCTATTAAACCTAGTAAAAGATAGTAAAGCTTCTTTGCCTCAGAAGGAGCTTGCCCTCTCTCATGTCCACAAGTAAGGGCTTTTTCCTTTTCTGCCTTTATTTTTCTACTGCGCCAAAGAATCTGACAGTGACCAGTGACCACTGCAAGCTGAGGAGTCTGCACCAGAACCAGGTCTACTGTACCTCCTGAACAGCCATGAGGAAATAAACTTCTGTTATATTTTTGTTTTTTGAGACCACCTCACTATGCAGTTCAGGCTAGCCGTGAAGTCTGTAGCCCCAGCTGGCCTTTATCCTCCTGCCTCAACCACCAAGCCTGGCTAGCTCTGTTCTTTAAGCAACTCAGGCTGTGCTGTTGGACATCCTGAGCAAACAGTGTAGTTGCTAAGTAAACCCACGAATTCATTGCAATTCCAGTTAAAAGTCCCAGCTTACTTTTAAAATTTTCAGTAGACACAAACTGATTTTAAAATTTATGTGGAAATGCAATAAGACTTAAGACAGTTAAAACAGGTTTGATCACTGACACTATCAATAAAGTGTCAGTACTACACCTGACAAGATACCACATCAGGAACCTGAAAAGAACTCCTAAAACCAATGAATCAATGCGCCAAAGATTACAAAAGATTTGGCCAGACTTGACCAACAGGTAGCGCAAGCAAAGGAACCCTGTTAGTAATAGGCAGCAGAACCAACCCTAGGGGAGACAACAGCAAGTGCCTGTGGCTAGGAGTGACCCCACCAAATGCTAGCAGATGCAGAGTACCTGGAACCTGAAGATACTCAGGTGGCCTGAATGGGACAGGCCACCCTGGAGGTTTTGTTTTTTGAGACAGGGTCTTGTTATGCTATTCAAACTGACCTTGAATTCACTATGTAGCCCAGGCAGGCCTCGAATTTACAGCAATTCTGCCTCAGCCTCCTAAGAGCTGGGATTATAAGTGTGCGCCACCACACCCAGCACCCCTGGAGGTTTAAGTATAGGCAGGCAACACTGTCTCAGCAGTTCTACTTCTCCAGGATTCCTTCCAAAGAAATGAAACTAACATCCACAAAAAGGTTCATCAACAAATCACAGCACTGGGCTGGGGACTTAGCTAAGTGGTTTAAGCACTTGCTGGGTAAGCACAAGGTTGTGAGTTCAATCCCTGGTGCCTAAAAAAAAAAAATCACAGCACTTTTTGTTCCAACCCCAAACTGGAAATAACTAACACAGATGTCCATCAAGAAGTGAATGAATGTGCAAATCATGGTCTATGGAAACACGGATCCCTGCTATTGCTGCTGCTCAATAGTGCACAAAGAAACAACTGTGTTTGGTAAGTGAGAATTACAAGTTTCAGGTTAGCCTGGGCAACTGAGCAAGACCCGTCAAAAGCAAGAAAACAAAAAGGAACCAGGGAAATGTGACTCTGAAGAGTATCTGTATTGTAGCCGGCTGTTGTGCCACATGCCTGTCACCCCAACACTTGGGAGGTTGAGGCATGAAGAGTGCCACAAGGCTAGCCTGGACTAACATAGTGAGACCCTGTCTAAAAAAAAAGGACTAGAGATGAAAAGTAGTTTAAGTGTGTGTGCCTTTTTAATGTATGTAATTGTAAAAGGTTAACCAACAAGATCTGACACCCCAGGCTCCTGGTGTCAAGTCCTGGAGGACATGGACAGGAGTGCAGTGCCTGTGGGAAGCAGGTGAGCGCTGGGCCCGACATCATGCTCTGCAGTGCTGCCAAGGACGTGTCTAACAAGCTAGGCTTGTGCTAGGATTCAGAGCAAGCCTCTGAGGGACAGCCACCCACCCACATGCCAGCCGGTGGGTTGTCCTGGCAGGAAGAAGGGCCCATGAGAGCTGGCTAGAAAAGGACTAGGGCACTGAGAGGCAAGAACAGGCTGACGGGACAGCAGCGCCAAGCCAGCACACAGAGCGGGAGCACAGTGGCTGCAACTCCCTGGCTCTGGTGGAGGAGGGCACTGTGGGATCAATGCTCATCACTGCTGGGGTTGTGGGCAGCGATGCCTGCCAGTGCTGCATGGCCAGAGCCTATGCAGGTCTCATGATGCCCGAGGGCTCTGCCTCTGCCAACACTTGAACAGGTTGGCACCTAAAAAGGTTTGCTCATGCCCTGTAGGTGGGAGCTAGGTGGCCACAGAACAGGAGCAGAGCCCAGCAGAGAAGGGTGGCAGAGGAGCTGCTGGAGGTGGCGGCTGTGGTTCAGGATCCTGCACTCACTTGCTGGTATCCACAGCTTCAGCCCCTGCCCGCAAGTCAGTGGGCAAAGAGGTAGCAAGAGCCTGGGCCAGAGCTGGCAGGAGTCACTTGGAACCTACTACTCTGGATCTCTGCCTAGCAGGAGCCACAGCAATGCTGCTGTGCCCAGGCTGTCCCTAAAGGCCAGGAGGGCGGATCCCATGAAGTCCTGTCCATCTGGGCGGCTAGCTCGGCTCCCCGAAGCACTGAGCCCCTTCATGATGGCAGTGGCATCAAGAGGCCAAGCCTCATGTAGCCACCCAGCCTGTGCTGGCAGGGGGAGCAGACTAGACCCTGGTGAGAAAATGCCTCAGACAGAAATGAGAAATAGAAAGCCATTTTATTAACACGTTTTACATTTATAGTTTATTAGCTAATCAACATCAACATGCAAAAATAAGCGCTAGATACAAACCTCTACAATATGGTGTGTGAACTACTGGTTCGTATGTCTGAAACCCCTCAGTACTTCAGAATAGCGTTGAGACTCTAGGTTACCAAGCCATCTGCAAGGCCTCTGCAAAAACGCGGTCCAGTGGATTTCCACGGGATACATTCTTGAAGCACGAAGTAAGGCGGTGCACGGAGGATGAAACCCCAAACCTACACACACAGGCCTGGCCAGAACGCTGCGCCCCAGTGCCCCCAGTTCTGGGGTGAAGTCAGGAAAGGCCCTGTGCGCTGCACCAGAGTCCTCACCATGGCCATGGCCGGCACTCAGGAAAGGACCAGCCCATTCCTCAAGCTCCCGAGTCTCATCATCAGCAAGTGGAAGGAGACTGAGAAACACAGGGAGGCCACTCCTGGTTTTGAGATGTTCTAGGTTCCTTCACTGTTCAGGTCAGTTTGTAGAGAAGGCTCCTCTGAGAGGTGCAGTACTTGCAGAAGCATCAAAGAGTTGACGTATGTTACAAAATCCTACTGATCAAAACGTCGTTTTCAATTACAAACTTATCAAATCTCACTTCCTCTCTCCCTAAGAGTATTTGTTGCTGCTCACTGATCTTTGGTCGCAAGAAACAGAAATGCTCGCCGCGGCAGGCTAGGGTCAGGGACAGGAGGAGGGTGTGGCCCAAGGCGTACACTCGGTGGCACAGGCCTACATGATGTACACCTTCTCAGCCTGTGAGAAGTGGAAGACTTCTTTGGTTCTTGGACAAACAACTTTATCATCTTGACGGATAGAAAGCAGAGACTGAAAAATAAGGCCAGGAATACATTAGGACAGCAAGGACAACACCAAGATTTCCCATGAAATCCAGGTGACAAATCCACGGGGAATAGGCCCTCATCCTGCAGTACACCTTCCCAAAGGCCCACCTCTTACAGCAACCTTGGGACTGCTCAGCTGTGGCTCCCGCCCCTCACCCATGCCCCGCGGCATGGCACATAGTCACCCTGCTGCCCCTCACGTTGTAGCCGTAGACGTAGCCGTTGGGCAGCATCATGGGCGGGTTGTTCTCGTTCATCACGTCACCAGAGATCTTGCAGACCAGGCGGGAATTGGCACAGTGGGCCATGGGCAGGGGCTGGGCCAGCTTGTTCAGCGAGCGGCTGCACACAGGGCAGTCAGGGCTCTTGGAGCTGCCATCTTCCTTATAGCACTGTCTGTGCACAGGGTTAAGGAAGGGCCGGGAGCTACTGGGATAGCAGGGGAACAGGCATACCATGGCTGCTCATCACCTGGGCCTTGGGAGCCCTCCTGGCTGCATGTGTACCACGTAGAAAGCAACTGAGGCTAAGGAGAGGGCAACAGACTACAGCCTGACCCACTAAGTAGGTGCCTCGACCCACCGTTCTCCAGCAGGACCTCCACTTGGCCCAAGGTCCCTCAGAGTCCTTCAAGGGTCAGTACCAGACCGAGGTCACACAGGGTTAGGCACCTGGCCCCAAGGATACCTGGGAATATAGCAACACCTGGGAGAGAAGGGAGATGAAGTTCGTGGAGCCCACAGACTGAGCGGACACCCTTTCAGCTGCCTAAGGGATCTCAATGCTGCCCACGCTCAATGTGGGGAAATTGTGGCCCAGAGCACCTGTCCTTGGCGCAGGACAGGATGGCACAGGCAGGCCACCATGCTAAGATATGAACATGAACAGCAGCCTGACCACAGGGCAGGGAGGATACGGTGTCTTGATCGCTGAGAGGCCGGCCTGCAATGTTAGTGTGAACACGGAGCTGTTCCCCAGCTGGTGCAGGCGGTAGTTATCATACCGGAACTGCTGGATCAGCATCCGCCACCGTGCTGGGTCCAGGAGGTCCTGGAAGGGACAGGCAGAGGTGCTGGGATCCTCTGGGGAGTGCCATGGGACAGCTGGCAACATGGGGTCGTGGTGGGCCAGACATGCATTAACTCCCTGGAACCGACACGCTCTGCAGCAGAGTACCCCAAGGCTATGACAAGGACAGGCTCGTGTGTGTGTGTGTGTGTGTGTGTGTGTGTGTGTGTGCCTAAAGCTTCATGGAAGAAGTCCTACTCCAGGGCATAATGCTGGATGACGACGAGCAACTACAGCTGCCTCAGCTGAAGACTGCAATGAGCAAACCAGAGGCAGAGCAGGAAAGGCAGTCAGGGCGCTGCCAGCCACTCATCCTGTGCGGTGGGCAGTGGTTGCACACATGCCATAGCAGGCTGTTTGCACTACTGAAAGCTTCACTGTGGTTTTTATTTTTATTTATTGCTTTTTCTAAACTAAAACCTCACTATTCAGGTTTAACTGCAGCATTGGTGCTGTATGATACCTAAGTGGGTTTTGGGTTGCAGTTTGGGCCTTCACCTCTAAAAGGTTCGCCATCACTGTTACAGAGTAATGACACAATTTCAACCTTTAAGAATTTTGTTTTTAATATCACTTTTATGAAAGTAAAGTCCACCTGGGATTAGACCAACAGCCCAAAAGACTCACAGAAAAGCAAGACCGCCCCCGTCCCCTTCTGGAAGCTCTTTGCACCAAGGCCTTGCAGCCACTGCCCCCACCAACAAACCTTGCTCTGGGTCTTGGTGACCCAGAGACTCAAAGGCAGGTGGCTCTGTGCCCTGGGCCTGGTGCTGCTGAGGTCCTATCTGGGACACTCAGGTCCTCAACTCTCCTGTAAGCTCACTGAACCCTCGCCTGCCTGCTTCTACACGCCAACTATGCCCCATGTGGTTTTGATCCTCTTCGGTGTCACTGAATTCCTCTGAGTTCATGGACAGAAGCCACACATGGTGGGCTGTGCCTGTCACCAGTTTGACTCTGGGCACAATGAGGAGATGGCGGTGCACACGGAGGGCAGGGCTCCTCCCTGCTGTCCAGATAGTGGGACCAGAGCCACTTTAGCCTTCCTAGCCGCACCGGCCCCTCAGACGTGTTGCCTGAGTGGGTGGGCTTCGCCTGTGTTTCTAACAGTCTTCTCCAGAGCAGGAAGAGAAACCCAAGATGCAGATTTACGAAAGCAATGTTGAGAGCCGGCGCCTGATCATCTGTGGTCAGGCTGCAAGGTGCTGTGTAGATTCTCTTAAGGCAGATAGCTCCAGAAACTCCCAGAGGGGATACAGGGCAAAGGTGAGGCCTTGACTAAGACCAGATACAAAGCTCTGAGAACCGATCTCACACACCCGCCTTTCTGGGTGCTAAACACACACTGGGGAGCACCAGGCTCCTGTGACTCAGCTACGTCCTAGACCAGCTCAGTGGTGGCGTAGGTCCCATGGTAGCCAGTCTAGAGGTCTCCATGGGAAGGGCAGCAGACCCACCAGGGAGCCACACAGGGGAGACCAGAGCCCACTAAAGGAAAGGGAACCCCATTCACAAGGCCAGTGATCTGGAGACCAGACCCATAGCAAGCACCAGACACGGGAGAGAAACATGGGAGATACCGGAGCTATAGGGCTCCCCAAGCCCAGATCCAGGTCCCTCAGCAGCATATGGAAACCTGGGAACCAGCAGGGCATGTGGCATACACAGTGACACCAAGACCCACTCACACATGCACAGGCACTACCTTGTACGGGGAAATGTGCGTGTCTGGTGGGAAAGCCAGCATGCCCATGACCTGGCGGACCTCATCCAGCTGGCTGCCCTCCGCCTGGCTGAAGTGCTTCCTCGCATGTCTGAAAAACAAATGTGGGCACACACTTCAGTCTGCAGGTTCCTGCCAAGCACCCATGTAAATGGGCCTCATATCCAGATTAGGCCTAGGAAGCCCTTGGCCCAAGAAGTTCTGGTGACAGGGCTGCAAGCCCACTACCCATATGCCCTTGTGACAACCCTGGCTGGCCTGGCACTGAGCAGCAGCCCCACTCACCCACACACCTGTCCTATGTGCAAACACAGGCTCTGTCTTCTGGGACACACACAGACAGGTACAGTTAGTTTTCTACCTGTGGCCGCCAGGCACTGGTCTGTGCTATTCTTTTGGCTGTTCAGGAACCATCACACACACCATTGGTCCCCCACAACCCATGTGCTCACAGCCCCTCAGTGTACGCTCCTGTCCCCAGTGCCAGTGACGTCATCACCTGTGGCTAACCCCCACGCTCTCAGGAACAAGAAGTGTACAAGAGACAAAGTCGACAGGCTTGGAGGTGGGGCAGGCAGGAAGGAGGCCAAGAAGGAGCCCACAGTGTTCAAGGGAGCAAGGGAGGTTCAGGGCACATCTAGGGAGTCCATGGCTGGCCACTCACCAGCCAAGCAGGGAGAGAGGGTGACATGAAGCTTTTCTTCTCTGCAGTGCTGAGGACTGAACCCAGGGCCTCCTAACACAGAGCTGGCTTCCCAGCGCTTTTTAGAATCCCGAGGCAGAGCTCACTAAGTCCCCACCCTGACTGAGCCTGGGTTTACAGGTGTGTACCATCTTGTCCACCTGAGGGCTGCTTGCGGCAGTTCACCAGGCAGGCTGAAAGTGGGTCAGTGACACCACAGCACTGCCTTGCTCGCACCCCACGCAGGTATGTGCACACCTGGGTGCCAGGCCAGGCACCTGGCCTACTCACTCATTAGAAATTAAATGTGTCAGGGTATAATGATTAGTGCCTGTAGCCCCAGCTACTTGGGACACTGATACAGAAAGTTCGCTTGAGCCCAGGAGCCTAAGGCCGGCTTGGGCAACAAACTAAGACTTCATCTCTAAATAAACTCAGTTTTAAAGTAAATGAAAATTTTACGGCCAGGGATTTAGCTCAGTGGCTTAAGCATCTGCCTGGCAAGAGTGCGGCTGTGAGTTCAATCCCTGGTACCACAAGAAAAAAAAAATTTAAATGTTCCAAATCAATCCCAACAGTCCATGCTTCTGCGACCATGCCATCTGCTGACGGGGCAAGGATTCCTTCCCAGGGTCCAGTAGTGGGGCAACAACTGCCCCTATGGCTCCAATCTGCCCAGGCCCAGCACCTGCTGCCCCTACCCTGCCCTAGAAAGCAGCCTGGAGCACAGTCTTGCTCCCTCGGAAGCCAGTCTCTGTCTGCAGGGCCCCAGCTGCTCACAGGTGCTAGTCCTAGTCAGTTCTGGCCTCTACCCCAGGACCCTGAGAGCATTCTGTGACTAGAAAAACCTTTAAGAAAACAAGACATTATAATAGCTAGTGTTGATTTAATATCATCTTGTTTTGAAGTCCTACCAAGCTTTTGTTCTTCCATCTCCATCCCTTTTTTTCATGTTGTATCTTATTGGATTTTATTATATGTGATGGTATAAATACAATTTTTTATGGACAACGAGACAGTACAGTAACCACTGTTCGTTTTCTGTTAGTTGGTTCTGAATACCCTGTAATACTTTCATTCTCTTGAATGGTTTTATACTGTCTTGTTATGTTTGATACTATAGTATATAAGGTATACTCAAATATTTCAAGGAAAGAGACACTATGGTAGCTACTGTTACGTCGGGTTGTCTCGTGATGAAACACTACGGTGATGACATCACTGGCACTGGGGACAGGAGCGTACACTGAGGGGCTGTGAGCACATGGGTTGTGCGGGACCAATGGTGTGTGTGATGGTTCCTGAACAGCCAAAAGAATAGCACAGACCAGTGCCTGGCGGCCACAGGTAAAGAACTAACTGTACCTGTCTGTGTGTGTCCCAGAAGACAGAGCCTGTGTTTGCACATAGGACAGGTGTGTGGGTGAGTGGGGCTGCTGCTCAGTGCCAGGCCAGCCAGGGTTGTCACAAGGGCATATGGGTAGTGGGCTTGCAGCCCTGTCACCAGAACTTCTTGGGCCAAGGGCTTCCTAGGCCTAATCTGGATATGAGCCCCATTGACATGGGTGCTTGGTAGTGTTTCACCACGAGACAACCCGACGTAACAGTAGCTACCGTAGCTACTGTTGCTTAAATTGTTCTGTTCTGACCTGTTTTGTTATGTCTTTTATCGTAATCTTTTTCTTTTAATAAAAAAAAGAAATACCTTTATTATTTTTCTTAGACCCATTTATGACAAGCAAATTCAGAAAATAAAAGCCAAGTCACTTGGCTTACTCTGCAGCGTTCTTTTAGAGAGCAACAGGAACTTATCACTGTCAGCCTGCTCATCCCACCCACAGTCCCGAGCCACCACCATCTGACCCCTGAGAGCACAGAGCAGGCACCCAGACACCTGGATGCCCTCCTGCCTCTTCCCACCCCTGCAGCAGGGCCACACACTCTGGGTCACCCTGGCTACCTGCCTCCACAGCAGTGCTGGGCGGAGAAATGACAGGCGCTTCAAGGCCAACCCCATCAAGCAGGGGCAAGGCTCCCCAACCCCCTAGCAGACCTGGTGCCAAGGCCCTCAGAGGGGAACAGGCAAGGTCACGGCTGTACTGAAAGCTGTACTGTACTGAAAGCAGTCTGGGGCGGAGTACTGAATGGGAAGGGTGACAGTATGTGTCCCTTTCCTACTGCCCAGGGACACACATGTGCCTCACCACCTGGCTAGGCCCCGTGCCTGTGATCACACAACTCAGCTCTTGGCTCAGACTATCAACCCAGCACGGCCCAGGGAACAGGGTAGGACACCATTCTGTGGCCTCTGGGTGCTCCCCCACACTTCCACTAGTACTCAGCACTGCTTGCATCTGCTGGAGTGTCTTGTGGGAAGACTGTCATCCTCCCAGGAAGGTGCTCCCGATGGACATGGGTTTCAGATGGGTACCACAGCCAACCCCTCCACCAGGCCTGCACCCGTCTGACCCAGACCTCTGCTCTACTCTGGGTGCTGTCCTCCCTGCCCTAAACCCTGGGTGTACCTGCAGGAGCCTCAGAAAAGCTGCAGCAGAGGACCACTGCCAGGCCAGGCAGTAGGCAAGCTCCCCCAGGCTATGAACAAAGGCATCTGGCTCACAAGAAGGAGGGGATGGTGGGGCACACCCTCCTGCTCTCTCTGGACACCATGCACCCAAACAAGGCTGAACAGGTTGGGCAGGACTCCCCAGACTGAAGGCTCCTGGGGCCAGAACAATGACCCCATCCATGGAGGAAGTGGGATCCAGAGGAAGGGCTGCTGGCTCAGTGGACAGTCATCTTGCAGAGGTGGCTCACCTGGACACCACAGGAAGCCCAAAGCAGCTCAGGCACAGCTGCCAGACTGGCAAGGCATCCCATCTTCCATTGCAAACCCTGGTGCGGAGCACCCACCTACCTCACAGCATCCAGGCGCTTGTTCTGCCGCACGAGCTCGATGAACTCCTGGATCCTGAGACTGAACTCCAGGCAGCTCTGGGGACAGACAGCAGGAGGCTCAGGCAGCAGCATGGGCCCCCAGACTCAGCATTCGCACACCCTAGGCAAGTCCTACAGAGGACACCAGAGGCCTCGACAGGCACGGTCCCAGAGGCCTCAACAGGCATGGCCTGCAGCAAATGCCTCCTGGCAATCATCACAGCTCTGTGGCTTGTGGGCCAGATGTGTGGTGGAGACACAAGGATACGTGGGTGGTAGAGGAGCCGTGTGTCACTCCGAGGGCACAGGGCATTCAGGCCAGAACTAGAGACACAGCCTAGACTGTCTGGCAGGCACATGTTGAAAGATGTCACCAGGCATGGGTAGCAGCCAGAGACCAAGAGAGAACTGCAGCTCTCATCAGGCTACATGGCATCTGAGTCATCCTGGATTACCCCATCGTCATGTGAGCTTCTCTATACCCCAACCCAAAGGCCTGCCAGGCCTCAGGCTCAGTGCAGTTCCCACACTGTTGCCCAGCCCAGTGGCTGTTCCGTGGGATCTAGACAAGCCCACATCTTGATGCCTGCAGGAGGAGACAGCAACCTAGTGGTAGATGCTTTTGGGCCAGACCAAAGCAGCTGACAGGAAAAAATTAAAGATGTATAGGTGAGAGAGCCAAGCAGGTGCTGGGGGGAACAATGAAGCAGTGGCCCAGCATCTTCCTGGAGCAGGAAGCTCCCACCTGACCTGAAGGCTGGGTTAGCCAGGACCAGGTAAGATGGAGGAGATGGCTGTCAGAAAGGCAGGAGCAACAGAACCTGCAGAGGTCGAGAGCTCTGGGTCAGCATGTGGAAGGGGGCTCCATGCAAGAGGCAAGAAAGGTTGGACAGCTGGGGGGCCTGGAGGTGACTGCCTAGGGGCTGCAGTGATTGGGGCATGCTATGAGCACAGGAAGAGGCAGTCTGTGGGCAATCTGCCATGTGGATTCAATCTGGGCAGGAAATGTGAACAGGGTGGGGCAGGATTATCTCCAGAGCCCCAGGGAAAGTGGGTCCCAGTGTGCGCTTCCACTAGAAGCAGCATGGAGGGGCAAGCAAGCCACAGCCCCAAGTCATGGCATTTACAGAGCAAGTGGATCAACCAGCCCCAGCCCAGCATCTACAATGATACCCCAAGACACTCTGTTGCCCATCCATGCCCCCAGCACCTCCCCACCATGCTAACCCAGTCCCAGGGCTCCCCCATTCCCAATCCCCCCACACAGCCAGCTTGACCCAGGTCACCATCTGCCTAGTATTGCCATGCCACTCCATACATATGGCACAACCACACAGGGAAACTTGTCACCTGGACACAGGAGTTTTCTGTCCTCTCTGTACCAGACAGAAGAGTAAGTGGCCTGCCACTAAGCCAGGCAGGCCAAGGAGGCTAGGACTGATCCCCACTGCATTGACACTCCCCCTTGTTAGCTGACTGACAAAGGCAAGTTCGTGGGACCAGGGAGAGGACAGTGTGTCCACCACAGGATTCTGGAAGGGGCCCATGGGGGAGTGGAGAGCAGCAGTGCCCCCACTGCAAAGCCAGATCTGCAGGGGCCAGGGAGGACCCATTCTCCAGGCCCTGTCTGCTTCCTGGGGCACCCACTGGCAGCTGCAGCTGCAGCTGGGTACAGCAGTGGGCTGTTCCTAAAGCAGGATGGAGCCACTGTACAGAGCTCTGAGAGGAGCAGCACTGTGTGTCTACACTGTCCTGGCTGCAAGGAACCTGCAGACACTGCTAACAACGAGGAGTGTCAACGCAGTGGGGATCAGTCCTAGCCCTGATCTATAAGCCCCCAACACCTGGAGTCCCTGTGCTTTCCTATATGCGTGACATGGAGACATGCAGTACCCATGTCTCTGCTCCAATAACCCTCAGGACTTGGATACCTGAGCCAATTCAACACAGAATCACTTGCTACCTTGTTACTTTAAGCACACTTCTAACTCTGGAACTTGGGTGTTGGAAGTCTCTTCTCTCACAGATGGTCCCGTTTCTGTTCCAAGAGACCTGTGAGCATACAGCGTAGCCCTCCCCAGCTCCTGCCCTCCTCAGTGTGTGCATGTCACACTGGGGACTGCCTTGGCTGCCTTCTGCCCAACCTCACTAATAGAGCCTTGGTCACTCACTGGGTGTGCAGTCAGCAACCTGTGCAGCTTGGACCAGCCTGTCCAGGACTCCTCTGCCCATGCATGCACCCACCGTGGGCCTCAAGAGACATGCTAAGTGCCAGAGCCTACAGAAACTGAGGTGTCTCTCAGCCACGCAGAAATGGCCCTGGGCAGTCCCGGGCACGGGAGTAGAGCTGTGCTTCAGCTAAGGTTTACAATTCCAAGATCCTCAACCCCTTTAGTGGAGTTGCTGGCAGAGCCACCACATTTCCACCTATCTTGGCCTCATGCTTGCCATGGTGGCCCCGAGTGCCCCAGTATGTCACCCTGACTGGCTTGCCTAGGTGGAAACAGCCATCTCTCCTGTGCATCCCTTCTACAAGCCCTGGCCCGACATCACCCTGCAGCACACAGCTCAGTTGGTAGCTCAGTCTGCTAAAGGCTGAAAGCTGAAGGTGGCTGTATTGTTGGAAATGTCATCACTGGAAGTCACAGTTGCCATGCTGCAGCCTGCAGATGATGCTCTCTGGGCTGGTTTCCGTGGGTATGAGTGAGTACAGGTGCCCAGAGCCACTGGATGCAGGCACAGCAGCCATTACCATGCCACATGCGCAGAGGGGCTCCATACCCGGTCTTCCTCCTCCCAAGCCTCCCACAGTCGCAGGACCTAGTTCTTCCCTTCAGGAGAACAATAGCCTTAAACTCCCCAACCAACACCCTCCCTTCAAATAATACCAAGCACCACAAACCAACAGTGAGGGTGCACTGGGCCCAGGTGGGTGGCATAGGTACCACTTCTTCCTGCAGGGAGTCCCTACTCCCACCCCAGGGAGCCCTCAGCACCTTCATCTTTCGCAGCCGGGACTTGTTGTCATGGCACCAGGCCAGGCAGGTGGCCGTCTCACGCCTCTCTAGGGACTCCTCCACTTCTTTGGCTGTCAGGAACATCTCAATATTCACCAGGTCCTAGGGAAGGGGCAACTGGTTCAGCATGATTGACACTGGCCCTGTCCTCTCTCCCCAGCCCTAACCCCCACCCCACAGCAAGTTCACTGAGTTGTGCTCACAGCAAGTGCCTAGAAACTCACACAGGGCGGATACCTGCTGTCCAAGAGCCAGGCCACACCTGGGTACACTCCTCCCAGTCCCCAGTATCGGGTACAGTCCCACAGGCCTCTAGCACAAGGTAAAGCCCCAGAAGAGGCATTCACTTTTGGCAGCAGAAGCCCCCACCCGAGAGGTACAGGTAGTATTGGGAAACCCATACAACAGCAGCAGGACACAGAGCCTGCAAGGAGGCCAAGCGGGTCCCAATGGGACTGTCCGAGGAGGCAGATAGGCACCCCCCCATGCCAATACAGAGCACATCTGGCAAGGCAGCCCTGACAGCAGAGGAGCTGAATGGGCAGATTGGCCCCCTACTCCGCCAGGTGCCCCTCCTCCACACAACCATGGCAAGCAGGCACCCCACAGGCAGGGCTGGCACAGCAGAGCTAGACTGGGCAACACGCTGCTTATGAGAAGCCAGAGTCCTGATGGAGTGCCCATACATACTACTGTGAAGGAGGTAGGGGCAAAGCCTTTCCTGTGGCCCTAGGCAGGGTACCTGAGGCAGGGAGGGCCACCTACCTCAATGCCACTCTGGCGTGCCAGCTTCACAGCTGTATTGTAGTAGCCACAGCGCAGCAGGTGCTCTACCATCATGCGGTCCATGCGCTTCCGCTTCCACAGGCTGGCCGCCGCTGGCTGGTCACTGCTATGCTCCTTGAGGTGCTCGATCCTGCGCTTGCACAGCTTAGCGCTCTCGTCCTCTGCCTGGATGGACTCTACCGCCTGCCACAACAGAGCCATGTCAGATGGGGCCAGACTCCTGCAGCCCTGCAGCCAGAACAGGGATGCAGGTGAGGAGACAAACAAGGACAGCACAGCAGAGCTGGGGAGCATCACTGGATTGTAAACAAAAACCAAAGGGCCACAGCTGGACCTCCGTCCTTGGCAAGTGTGCGCCTGGCAGGCAACCACTGCAGGCAAATGGGAAGCTCCACCTGCTGGTGTGGCATCCTGACTCAGATATGTGGGTTTGCGCTTTCTTTTCTACACTGTGCTGCCAGGGGCATGAGATTTGAAATCTGTTATCCTGCCCTAGTTAACATTTATCATTATGAACCAACTTTCAAAATCTTTCCTTGGGGCCTGGGGATTTAGCTCAGTGGCATAAGTGCCTGCCTTGCAAGCAGGCAGTCGTGAGTTCGATCCCTGGTACCGATAAAAATGAAAAAGACAGAAAAAAAAAAAAAAAACGATAAAAATGAAAAAGACAAAAAAAAATCTTTCCTAATATTTTTTTCTTAAAATCACCCCCCCCCCCCAACTGGACTACCTAGCACCGCTGCCAGGAGGAGGGCTGAGGGTGTCTGTGGGGGGGTACCTGAGTAAGGACCCTGACCTCAAAGGCTTGGAAACAGCACATGCTGGCTGCTGTTCCCTGGGGTGCGGTCTCAGGCTGGGCTTCAGCGTCACCAGGTGAAAACCCTGAGATGCCTCTTTCTATCAATGCTGTGCAGTGGATGTGGAACACTGGTTGGTGTTCTGCTTCCTCTGCTGCCCCTGCTCCACTCTGGGCCCGATCCCATGGGAGGCTGTACTCAGCCCCACCTCCAGGCTCTATCCAGGACCCGTGCTCCAGTTCACCAACTCCTTGAGCTCTGTGTAACTCAGAAGCATTCTAAGTGTGTGCATCTTGGCTATTCAATACATACACAATCACATGGAGCTGGGCCTCAAACCCTGGGTCTTGTGCACATTGGCAACACCTACCACTGAGGCGCAGCACTGGGCCACTGCAGGTCTCCATCAGGTCCTCACTTTCCACAGCCCAGGGCCACTGCTCCTCACCCCACCTCCTGACCAAAGCTCCTGGGTGATAGCTGGTCCTTCCACCTCCCGGATCTCTGCCTCCAATTCGGACCAGTGACTTGTTTATGGCACATGAGCTTGCTGACATTTCCAGGAAGATGCTTCAAAGCATCTTGCTTTATGGTTGTTTGTAGTGGGTAAGAGAGTCCTGGGAACCAGGAACCCTAGGTGCACTTCTGAGATGAAATTCCAAAAATAACAAGTCAAGCAGCCACTGTCTGGGCCTGGGGACAACCAGGGGTCACCAGGATAGCACCCACCTTCCGCTTGAGAACACTGAGCTTTTCCACTACGCCATCCAGGAGGCTGACCACAGAGTCCACGGCTGGGCAGCTGCTCAAGGTCTTCTCCAGCTCAGCCACCACCATGGTAACGTGGCTCGTCTCCCGGTCAATGTTCTTCTGGGCAGCGCGGAATCGTTTATTCAGCGTCTCGTAGGGCACCTGGACAAGGGAGGACAGTGAGCACCACTGACCCTCGTCACACTCAGGCCCCAGGGTGCTCAAGTGCCTCACAGCACCTGCAGAGTTGCTGTCACCAGCTGCCAGCTCCCACCAAGCATGAGTGCCCAACACAGGACTGAATCAGACCCACAGAGCTGCAGGGAGAAAAAGCTTTGCCAGGCCCATCCCTCCAGACTCCAGCAGCCCAGCTTCCTCCAGGGCAAGTCCCCCTGTGTGCTGACACAAGAATCCCGAAGTCCACTCAAAAGAAACAAGAGAAGACTGACTGTTGAGCTTCTCCCCACCCCAGCACAGCACAGCAAGTCCCCCTGACAGGTTACAGCAGAGCTACTGACACCATACACACACACCTTCTCCTGAGATGTCTGCCCCAGTTGGAAACTCCCATCCTACAGGGAATGGTGGTCCACACCTGTAATTCTAGTACTCAGAGGGTGAGGCAGGAATATCACTGAGAGGCTAGCCTGAACTACATAGCAAAACCGGGTCTCAGAAAAAAAAAAAAAAAAGCCATAAAAGAATCCCCCCAAAACAAAACAAAGAGAAAACTGTCCTAACAGCACATGGGAAATGAGAAGAAGGTTAATGTTAATTTCACCTCCCTGCCAATGGGTGTGGGTTAACACTGTCTACCAGGCAGGCTGCGCCCAGCCCAGCTCAGGCCCCAACACAGCAGTGACCAGAGAGCTCAGCCTTTCAGCCTCTGCAATGGAGGATGGACGCTGGGGCAGTTAGGGTGAACCTTCTCAGTGACACAAACAGCCAGCTGCAGCATATGTGCTGCAGGAGTGTTCCGCACTCCAGGGACTTCATGGCATCTCTGACACTGGCTTGCAGCATGAGGACGATGGCTGACACAGGAAGGACAGCCTCAGCTTCTTCTCCCAAGCCCCTCTTTCCCTTGAAGGATGGGACATGGGTGCTGGTAAAGCCAGCCCTGTGCAGTGTCCCAGTAACCATTCTGCTTAGCCTCTCTGGAGCACCCCATACCCAGAGTGCCCTGGGGACTTGGCGGGGTGCTGCGAGCGACAGCACTCAGCACAGGCACTTCCCACACACGTGTCCCCTCAGCCAAAGACAGGCAAGTCTACCTTGTGGGGAAGGGTAGCCATCTGCAGCCAGCCAGGGCCTTGTGCATGCCAGATGCACCTCGTGAAGCTGGAGGGGAGAGAGCACTTGGTACATGGATGCACCCTACACCAGCTCTCCTGGGCAGTGCTCAGCATTGCACATGGCAGGTGCTGCAGCTGGGGTCTTGATGTGAAGCCCAGTGTCCCCACAGCTGCCAGGACCCGTCACCCTACATTGTCTGCTTTTGCATCTGCATTCCAGAGATGCTGCTGGCAAAAGGGTCAGAATCCACTCTCTCCTGTCCACCTCCCAGGGACCAAGAGAGCTCAGGGGACTGCACCGCAGCTGGTGCGAGTGCAGAGCCAGCCCCCATGAGCAGCCCACAAAGAACACTGAGTGCAGCCCACAAAGCCTACGGCCAAGCACGACCTGAGTCTGCTCACCCATCTGAACTCTGCCTGCAGAGGAGGGCTGACACAGCAGCATTCGCCTCTGTCCAGGGCTGCCAGCCTGTACCCTAAGCCGCAGTCCAGCACAATGACCTCCTGATGAAAGAGGTCTACTTGCCAGGAGTTGGGAACAAAGCAACAGAAAGCACTACCCATGGCCACAAGGCCCACTGCAGCTGACCATAGCCAGCCTGTGCCTGCAGCCCACAAAGCACAGATGTCACACTTATCAAGCCATCATGACAATTCCTTGGTGCTCCCTGCCAGCTTCTGAGTCTGCCCTGGCTGACACAGACCTTCACTTCCGGGTAGCCCAGGAGCCACTCCCAATCCTGACCTCAAATGACCCCGGCTTAACTTCCCACAGCCATTCGTCCAGGCAGGACCTGGCTCCCTGGGCCCTGGCTTCCAAGGTCGGGCCCAGACACATGCACCTCCGCTCCATGGCTGCCCTTGGCCCTGTCCCAGGCCCCACACAAGGGCAAGGCAGTTTCCCTGCTTCCTCCCACTCCACACTTAGCCATCAAGGAACTGGGCAGTCTGTGAAGCAATCCCTTTCCTCTGCTCCCCAGGGGACCCAGCATGGGATGCTGCCCTGATTTAAACACTGATAGGGCCAACAACTACTTCCCAAAGACAACAAGAGGAATTTCAGAAATGCTGAAGATTTAACCTGAGTCAAATCACCATGCAAGAACCAGGACAGTATGAAGACATCTTGAGAACACAGGACTGAGGGTTTCACAAACACAACCCCTTCCTGGGAGGAGAAATGCTCAGAGACCAGTCTCAGTGAGGCCCCACAGCAGGTGTGCAACATGGGTGAGGTGGTACTAAAGGAGAAACCAACACGAGGCAGCGCTCCCTATGTGAAAAAGGGTAACACAGCTGAAATTCAGCAGACTTTGGGAAAACCAGGAAAAACGGAACAAAATATAAGTAATAAAAACACACAGGACCACTCAAACACACAACATCTGTGTAGCAGGGAACATCCAGCAGACTAAAATGCAACCCCAGAGACAATGTGCAAATCATACCTGACAATGAGTTTCCTAGACCACACAAAATCACCCACAACTCAACAGCAAAGGGCCATCAGCTAAAAAAACAAGCAAAGACCTTTAAAGATGACACAAGCCAGGCATGGTGGTGCACACCTGTAATCCCAGCACTGGAGGATGAGTCAGGAAGACTGCTGTGAGTTCAAGGCCACCCTGGGCTATATTGATACCCTGTCTCTAAACAAAACAAAACACAGACTACATGAAAAGATGTTCACCGGCCTCACTGGTCACCATGGAAATGCAAGTAGAAACCACAAGAAATACCTATTAGGGTGGCTGTTACCAAGAAGACTAGAAGGCAGGCACTGATAGGACATTGCAGGCAGGCACCACGAACTCAGCACAGCTACACAGGAGCTGACTGCAGCAGTCCCATGGCTGGGGCCTGGGCACATTACCAGAACTTCAGGCACAACCAAGAGTCAGCACACTCACCAAAGCAGCACTCACCAGGCGTGCATGGGAACGATCTCAACTTCCAGCAGAAAGAAGTGGCTTAAGAAAGAGGGTAACACCCAGGAAATCTTGCCACACGCTACAGCATGGATGAACTTGGGGTCACAGTGCTAAGCATTTCAGTCACTAAAGGACACATGATGCATTCTTTCTCCAAGAGAAACCTGCAGCAGCCCACCTGTGGGGAACTAGAAGTGGACAGCAGGCACTGGTGGCCAGGACCAAGAGAGGAGTCAACCTCCAACAGAGTCTCAGTTTGGCAAGACAATCCCTTTGGTACAGGGAGATGCACAAAGTCAACGCTCAGGTGCGGAAATGCTCCATGCCATGCTGTGTTTTTACAAGGCAAAGTCCTAGTGATTTGCACAGAGTTCTGTGGGCAATGGGATCTCATTTCAAAACTTCTGTAACACTGTGGGAACCATCTGACAGTGCCAGTCTGGGGAAGGACACAGAGGTCAAAGGGATGGACAGCCCAGGAATGGACCCCTACCACAGACACATGTATCCAGCCAAGGGCCAGGGTGGAAGGACTGCAGGACTAGAAACCCAGAGGACATCGACCCTCAACCTGCACCTTATACAATTCTTAAAATTCACCTAAGATGGATCACAGACCCCAGCACAAATACTGGTACTGGAAAACTACTTGGAAACAAACACCTCATAACCCTCAGATGGCAAAGGTTTCCTACAAGGTACAAAGTACATCCACCGTAAAAGAATTTAAACTTCACCAACGCCAAACTTAAGACTTCCAAGGAAACGAAAACCTGAGCCATAGACCGTGGAAGCACATGGCACACCACCTTATGGTCGCCTCTGGCGCTGTGTCTATCATCTGCTTTAAGATGCATTTCCTCTAACCTTCTCCAGTGTTTGCTCTATGTTTTCCAACACTGTTTGCTAACAAGAAAGATGCACTTAGTTTGTCGCCATAATTTTTTCAGTCACTTTTACCAACACAACAAGCACATCACAGTTAAGAAGCCTGGAAGAGCCGGGTGTGGTGGCACACACCTGTAATCCCAGCACTCAGGAGGCTGAGGCAGGAGTTTGGGGCCAGCGTGGTCTACAAAGCGAGTTGAACTGCATAATAAGACCATCTCAAAAAGACCAAAAAACAAAAAGCACCCTGCGAGTCGGCCAGGGATGTAGCTCAGTACTTAAGCACTTGCCTAGCAAGCCTGAGGACCTGAGTTGGATTCCAAGTACAGACAAATACAAAATAAAAACCTAGCTTGAGAGAGTTTTTCAGTAATTACCAGCAAGTAACTAGACTGAAAGTAGTATACTGAAGCACAAACTGTTCCATGTGTCCTGCTTCTTCTAAAAAGCACACAACATTCTTCCAACCGCAGCAGCCTGCGCTGCCCCCAGAGCAAACCTAGAAGTGTTCCCCCAGAGCAGGGATAGCTCAGGGTCTCCATTTTAAATGAGTGCCTTGAAAGAGAGTATTTCAGGACAGCCCCTGGAGGTGATGCTAAGCTATGGGGTAGGAAGGGCCTGCGGGCACCCCACACACACTCCTCTTGTGGGTGAAGTCACCACACCTGTATTCAACCCACAAGTGACCTGCAGAACACTTTCAAACTGCTTGCCCATTCTAGGGAGGGTGAAGCACCAGTCACTGCAGATTCCCATCACTGGGGAGCATGAGGTGTGCAGCTGCCCTCCAAGCTAGCAAGATGGGACAGACACCAGGGCCAGCATCTGCATGCCATCTTGGGGATAGCTCAGTGAATGAATGCAACATAAGCTCCAGTATTCCAGCGCTTAGCCACATATCCTGCAAGCAGAGGAGGGCAGAGGAGCTCGGACACCAGTGCCGCTCTAGAAGCAGAGTTGCTTGGGCATGCCCATCCCTGGCTCTCAAGTCATTAGGGCCTGCTTCTCAGCGCTCTCCCTACTAGACACCAAGGTGAGCGTTTGAGGT